GTCCCAGCTCCCCCAAATCAGTGCATGGCACAAGCGGTAATCTGTGGTTGCCATGGTGAAGGGCCCTGGTAAAATAGACAAGACGACAAAAAGAATGAATGGATAGAGAAAAGGAAGATATTTCTGTCGTGTCAGGATGTGTGTGGCTGTCTGTTGTGATTGTGAAAAGTCCTTCAATTTCATTAGTAGACTTTAATGCAGTGCACTTCCAAGAAAATCTGTCTGAAAGATATTTGAACAAAATGGCAAACCTAGAAAATGTGACAGAATATTTGGGGTAAAATATGCAAGATGTTGACTTGTTCATTGTCTGTGTTTGTTGGTTGGTTAATGGATGCAGTGTAATGTACACACATGGCAGGTTCATTCAGTGTTAGTTATTTAGTTCTTTGGTCATTTGGTTGCTAAATTTTTATTTGAAATCTAGCGGTATGCAATGGAAGTTTAAGCTTGGAGAAATAAACGGGTTTATCAAATGAACATTAAATTTCATCAAAGTACTTCATGCCAGTTTACATTTTCTTTCATTTGTTACTTTCCGTGTAAAAAAAAACTTTCGGACGAGGTGTTCCGTAAAATTTAAAAGCATATTCATTGTTAGGGCCTGCATACATTTGCACTGAATATACAGGTACGAAAGATACCGCTAAGTGTCTTGCCGAAAGTTAACACATACTCAGTATTTTTATTTTTAAATTAAATGAATACTTTGCCTGGAGATCCTTACCAGTAGCCAGTGTCTTGTGTGGACCTGTCATATTCTTAGGTCGAGGAAAGCTTACATGTAAGACATTCATCTCACGTAAAATGCAAAGGAGAGGAAATCTACTCTGCTATTTAGTAGGTGCAAGTTGGGCCTTGTGTAAACAAACGTTTCCACATCATGGACTCAAGGTGTGTATGACTAGGCGAAGAGTGACAGCAAATGAACACGTACGTGTACATGTACGTACATGTATGGCACATTGGCACATTTACACAGAGAGACTGTACATGTATATGCACAATGTACATTATGTTCCCATACATGATGGTGCACCCAGGCATTAGGTACCGCATTCTTACCGCAGAGATAGGGGTATTTTTAGCTCAGTCTTGGCCCCCGGGCCTAGTGCCAAATAGTTCCTGCAAACTTGAACTTCAGTGTCAATGTGCACTCTCTTAAAGGGACTGCTATGTCAGAGATGTGTGTCCGCGCATGGTCACGTATTGGCACGTATGCAGTGCATGTGCAGTTTTTTGTTGATCGACTAAAGTGATGTGTGAAATGTAATTTGTTTCTAACCTTCCCAAGTGAGTAGAGGTGTGTACTGGAACATGGTGAGTACGGGATACAGTGTACATGTGAAGTAGGATTTAAGATTCAAAAGGTTCTATCATTGTTTCAAAGGTATGCGTAAATTCTAAAATGTACATGTACAGTTCAGTTCAGTTAGTCCTTTAATTTGTTGTAAGAGTAGCTGCCCTGTCCATGGTGTGTAGCATTCCACATTTGCTTGTCATTGCCATGTTGGGATGTGGGAGTTTTTTCCAAGGGGGACAGGAATGAGAATATTTGCAATGAGCTGCCAGTCTAGGAATCTTTACAGAGAGCAAATCTTTGCTTTGTGGTGCAGTGCACATGCACTGCACATGCATGAGCTGTATGGTCGTCATGTCTATTCATGTTAAATGCAGTCTTGTTTCACGTCACCGTATGCATCAAAAATGCCATTGAGTTTCTGCATACATTGTTGTGTTGGGTTGTGGTCAGGTTTGTTGCTAGCAACAATGTCTGGGAATTGGACTGAAAGGTTGTTTATATATGGTGATATTTTTTTCAACTAAAAATTTGTTTTGGCATCGCAGGGGTTAGAGTCCGGGGGCGAGGACAACACCATGCAGAAGATTCTTCGGTCTCCTGTGACCATGAAGAAGAAGATCAACAGCAAGACCTTTGGTGTCCCCCTGAAAGAGCTGGCTAGAGGCCCTACGGGAGTCAGGGTACCAGTCTTCATCAAGAAGATATGCGAGTTCATTCAAATGCATGGTGGGTCAAAGGTGTTAGATTTCTTGTAGCCAAAGGACCTTTTTCAACATGAATAAATTGAAAACATTGGGAATTATTAGAATTTGTTATACCCTTTTTGATTCAGTATATTCACGTAAAGTATATTTTGGAAGTAAATCCAAAATTCCATTTAAAAAAAAATTCTTACAAAATTTAGTCTATCATATAATTAGTATTTTGTAACAGCTGTCAGATTTAAAGAAAAACATATTAAGCCCATATAAAAATCTGATAATCAGTGTATGCAAAGTCATTCAAATTAGAGCCAGACTGTTGGAAGGTGGTAGATATGAATTGATTGGTGCTGTATTTGAGAGGTCCGAGGCCAGACTCTTTGAATTGTGCGCAGGTGTTGAAAGTGATCCCACAACATTAAATGTCCAATTTATATTAACTGCTATAAGCCTTGGATATTGGTTTTTGTAGGCATTGTATATTTAAACAGCAGTCTGTCGTAATTGCCGAATGCATCCATCCATTACACTTGCACCTGTCACTCTGGGTCACACACACCTAACAGCACGTTTATATTCTCCCTGCCGTGGGGGCTGACAGGTATCGGGCACGAGGGAATCTTCCGCATCAACGGTAGCACCCGGGTGGTGGATAAGATGAAGGCCATGATTGACAAGATGGGGGATGCAGATTTGGAGGAAGCGGGAGACGTGATGGCCGTAGCGAGTCTCCTCAAGCTCTTCCTCAGGGAATTACCGGATCCCATCATGACTGAAGCATTGCATCTTAAGTTCATTAATACCCAACTAGGTAAGATGACACAGACCATTCATGTATCCAACATTGAGGAATCCGATACATAAGTAAATTTGTCAATGGTAAGCAGAATGCACACACTTTATGCATGTACAGTAGCCATATGGATTGAACCTAGTCAGGATTCCTTGATGCGGGAAACAGACATTTGTTTACAGTGAAAACATGAAAAAGTTGTTGAAAATCACGATAACATTTTGCTACACGGATTTTTGAAAATACATTTGTATCCTTGACATTGTGCAGGACACATGGTTGAGTACATGTACATGATGTAAGTGTGAGTGACCTTTAGTCATCCGTGTTGCTTTATAGTAACAAAGCGCCCTCTATTGTCCACGCACAGTTCATTTGTCTGTGTCCAAATCACGTGAGCTTGACGAGGGAGTTGATTGACACATGTGACTAAGGGCAAAGCTTCAAGCTACAGTACTTAAAGTTGTGACTTCCGTGGCACTTCTTTTCCAGCCATGGCCGATACAGCCTAATTCACAGAGCAAAATGGTGGACAATTTATTTGGTCTCGGCCTCCAAAACATACATTTGTAGAAAATAAAGAACTTGTTTCCAGTCCAAGTTTTTTTTAGAAACAAACTTGAGATTTGAAGCTTTTCACGGTGGAGGTAGCAAGTAAACTAGATAGGTTTGCGGTAGCATCATGGATTTATGTCTTTTTTTTTTAGTATGTTTGGTTCTGAAAAGAACCGGTGGTACTCAACATTTCAGACAGTATGCTGTCTCCTGACGACGGACAGAGCATACTGTCCAAAACGATGAGTACCACCAGTTCTTTTCAAAACCCCTCATACCCAAGAAAGAGACATATCCACGGTGCTACTGCAAACCCATCTAATTTACTAGCAAAAACCTTGCGTTCTTCTCTTGACAGCCAATCAATCCAATCCTGATGATTGCATCAAGCAGCTCAAGGCTCTCTTACAGCAGCTTCCTGAGGAGCATTACATTGTCTTGCGTTACCTGATCCGATTCTTGGTCATGGTATCGCAATATGAAAACACCAATAAGATGAACTCCATGGCATTGGCCATTGTGTTTGGCCCAAACCTCTTCAGGTAAACTCATATATATGTACATTAAAGTTGGCATCAATTCTGGAAATGTAAAGCATGCAGTAGATTAGAAAAATGTTCAAATTTCTGTCAGCTTGGAAACGTCAGTGATCATTCTGACTAATTGTTGTAGTTGGAAGTTTCACAAGTTTATCTCTGGCATTTTCAACTGTTCCTTTCAAGTAAATTTCCGTTCAGATAGTAATTGCCAAAATAAGAAGGGATTGTTTTTGCCGAGACTTTGGTACCTGTCATGTCGTGGATGAACTTGTAAAGAAAGACTTGTGAAGTAATATGGGCGATTCATAATACAGAGTGCCACTAAGAGTTTTAACAAAACATTCGGAAAAAAAAATCAAGTTTCCTGCACGTAGTGCAGTTAGTGAGTGAGACTTTGTCCACTATTTATCCCATAATGCACTGTTAAAAGGCCTCTCCATGAAAAACTTGTGGTGGCGCACTGCATTGTGGAGTACTTCGTTCGTTGTTTTGACGGATCCATTGTACAACCTAAACTGTCTCCATTATGCACTCTAGGTGTAGCGCAGGACTGGATGGCCTACGAGAGCAAGGCATCACAAACATCATTGTCCGGATGTTGATCGACGACTACGAGGCCATCTTCAAGAATGAAGAGAAGGAGGAGATTTCCCCTCCCCCTGCCCAGCCACCAGGGTCAAAGTGCATCCAGGTGCAGTCAACGACCTCTAAGAAGTCACCTCCAGTCAAACCAATGCCTTATCAAGACTACATCAGACAGAAGGAAGCTAAAAAGGTAACTCAAGTTTCAAGTAAGAAATGGACAAATAAATCTTTTTAGAAGATAATAAGACTGAACCGATCAAAACGATTTGTGGTTTTGAGTACCTTTAACCCATTTGTTGTTCACTCAACTTCAAAAGGGATACTTTCCATGATTTTACTGGAAATCTTTAACAAGTTATGACCATTATGTCACAGGTTCAATTTAAACAGCACTTATTGCTGAGTTTAGGATCCATGAAAATAACTTCAAGACAGCCAGAGTATTATAAATCCAAGCTTTCAAGAAGTCTGTTTACATCAGAAATAATTAATTCTTTTTCCTTGCGATTAATTCTGGGCCTGGTTGCAGAAGAAGGATTCTGATGAGCAGCGGGACTACAACAGTAACTCATACACCGATACCAACAGGGAAGAAATGAAGAAAGTTGAGGATTGTCGAGATTGTGATTCACCAGCAGGTGGTCTTCTCAGGTATGCCAACATCTAGATCTAGACAGGTGCTTGTACAACAGACCTCTGTGATTTGCTTGCAAACTTCGGGATTACTTCTACAAAACACTTGCTTCTAGACCATCAGATGTTGACCAGTCTCTCAATTTTTATCCTATTTTGCTCAGGCAAACGATGTTGTATTAGACTCACTCTTTGCTGACAGGCAGTTTTTCCTGTATTTCCAGTCCAGAGCTGAACAGATATGTCGTGTTGAAGTCTATTAACCAGTCATTATATAATTTGGCCAAAATTCTGCTCAAGATGATGTGAAAATTGATTGTATTTTGCAGCCCGAGGGATGTTGGTGTTGAAGAAAGAGCCTTCTCTCCTTTCAACTTAGATAGTGAGACGGGAACCAGTACAGCGCCCTCACCTGTCATAAATGATATAACGTCAGAGTAAGTCATTGTGCTCTTCAGTACATGCTGGAGCAGCCGTCACCTCAAGATTTCCTTTGTAGTGGAAGTAATTTTAAACTAGAGACTTTGGACTAAATTAAAGGGCTTGAAATTTTCCCGGAAGGACAGAGGAAGTTCAAATCTGTTTTGCTGCTCACTGTTAAGTTTTGTAGTGCAGCAGAACAACTGCGTTTTGTGTATCGGAGTGCCAACTCTTCAAATTAAACGGAAATCAGTTGCTGGTTTCTGATAGTTTTCCACTGGTTCTGATAGTTTTCCATTGGTTGCTGTGGTTACATTTCTATTCAGGCTTGTGGAAAAGACCATTCAGGAGACTGTCTCAGAGCATCTGTTTGGTCAGAGCCCTTCACCGGACAGAGAGGAAACCCTCACTACACCATCACCAGAAGGTCAGGATCATGATAGATATTGTCAGACTTTGTCATATGCATAAAGAAAAAAAGGTTGAGATATTTCAAAATTTGTCCAAGTCAGAAAGACTTCTTAAAGCCTTGTTCCAGAAAATCTATATATAGTATTGGAATACACTATTTTGAATACTTTTGTAATTTCTCTTATCTTCCTCACTAATCTGAACTTCATCCAATTCTATACCCAATGTACACCCAAGGTGGCCCACAATTGTTCAGGTGCACAAACTGAGCTATTGATTTTTCTGCTCAGTGAAGGACATTTTGGAAGAATCAGGAAGGGTTCAAGGTCGCAAACTTGGCTCAGGAGTGAAGGTGAAATCCTTGATTGTAATCATTTTGATTTTACATTGTTCAGTGCCAGTGCCTTCACCACGACGGAGATGGCAGAAGAGACAAGAACAAGACAGAGAGAATAAAGACACCAAGTAAGCAAAGGTTGATGTTGGCTTGGGTTCACAGGCCAGGGTATTTGTATACAATATGCTTCACTGTGAATTTATCAGTCTGACCTATTTTATATAAAAACCTTGTTTTATCTCAAGATTCCAATGATTTCATCATTCCAGTAATGGCGTCGATTCCCCTGACGGTCAAAGCACGTCTTCTGTCGAGGAGATCTGCCCCTCAATCCAAGACCGTATCCGATCATTTTCTTCCTCGGCTCCTGATAACAAATCCCCTGAGAGCTCACCTAAAGTCAAGCGGAAACATCAGCCATCTTCAAAAGCATTTGAAGTGTTTGAAACTCAGGGAATAGTAATTGGTCCCGGACCGGTAAGTCCATTCCTTCCTGTCTCTGACAGTTATCTTATTTGCTTATGGTAAAAGTAACCTTATTGAAGAACAGAGTAAGAACTTTCAAGTCTCTCTGACAGCAAATTGGTTTCATACTCTGTATTCTTTGTTTTTTCCAACTTGATATGGAACTTGTCACAAGGATAGTTTTTCTGATGTCATCTTTTGCTTCGTATTCTTTTGTCTATTCCCAGAGTGAAGTTTTTGTGACAAAAAAGAAACAGAGCACTTCTTCAGCAATTCCTCTCATAATTGACGACCCCAGGAGGGACCAAACCAACAGTTGCAGCCCGCTGTCAAGGAAAAAAGCCCCTGAGCCCCCCACGCGGCCCTCACGGGGGAAGGCCCACCTACTCAAGTCCAAGGGTCAGGAGAAAAGGCCGCAAGAGTCGGGGTCACCAGGGTCAGTCTCTGGATCACCGAGGTCCAAGTCGCCGAGGTCATACTCCCCAAGGTCCAATTCCCCGAGGTCAATCTCGCCCAAGTCCAATTCGCCACGATCAAATTCACCCAAAACGTATTCACCCAATTCGGATTCCCCCAAGTCAAGGTCACCCAGGTCTAAATCTCCAAAGTCTCAATCGCCAAAACCGATGTCTGTACGGTAAATATTGAAGTATATTTGTTGACAAAACTCATGGATGTTAGGAAAGTTCTGTGTTGTTTATGTAGCATAAAACCCTGTTAAAATGCACGCATTGCACACATTGCAAGATTTGATGATATGTCATGTTTCTCCTCTGTAGCTAACATTTTATTCTGCTTGTGGTCAAACAGCTTCATGAAAGGAACCCTTTTTCCAAATTTGTTTTGTCATTGTAGCAACAACAGATTGTCCGTGAAGGACGGTTCTTCCTGTCAGCCGTCAGGCAATCCTCAGGATTCAGAAATCCATGCAGATTTCGACAGTCTCCCCTGCAACTCCCCGACACTGAAATCGGTACGTGTTTTTTTTTTCCTCTGATGAAGCCCGACAGCCTGTCCTCATTCTTTTCAAACCCTTCCAAATCCTCTTGGATTTGGCGGAGGATTTTGGAGGATTTAAGAAAGTGGAGCCCAGACACTGTTATATTCCTTGGGGCTAGATGTCCCTTGAAAGTTGAAGTACAAAAACATGCAGCATTGATTGCCTGCGAAGTGGAGGATTTTGAAGGATACAGCTAGGTTTCTTACAAAAATCCTATGGTTGAAGTGAATGCGTAATTTGGGGTTACAAAGTCATACGTTATTGTTTGACAGGCAAATATGTAATTTCCAAGAAAACTATGAAAGATGCCAAAGGGCAAAGACGGTAAAATTTGGTGGATATTATTTGAAGGAAGATTTTTATTGTTCATTTTATCTGTTGTAGTTGACAGCAGGAAGAATTGCACCTCCCAAAAACAGAAGGTCCCCCTCAAACAGGTTGGTGCAAATTCAAAGTGTCTGGTTTATTTTATTTTATTTTTTTTAGTCAATGAAGATCATAAAAAGATAAACGTTTCCTGAGGTGGACATGTGAAAATATTCAAATTATTAAAAATGTGCTCTGAAAAATGTCACTTCAGGAGGAGTAAGATACCTCAATCGGAGCCGACAAGACGAAATGTGACTGGTGCCCGGCCGTACACTGAGCCATTATCCATCATCATACCGGGGAGTGAACCCATGGCAGAGGGCTTGGGCCTACCCCAGGAGGCGCCCCAGCCTAAACCCCGCAGGAAACACTCCGGTGTTGAGGCCGTGTCTATGGGAGCAGAGCCAAGCCAGGGTCTGTCGGGGGAGCTGGAGACGCTGATGAACGGGGGGCAGGATGCGGCCAAATCGCCACCCAAATCACCGCAGCGACGCGAGCATGCTGTCCCCCCGCTGAACCTTACCAGCTTGCACGAACATGCAGACGGTGAAGGTAGGTTGACCTTGCTCTTCCTAGATCCTTTAAAATTCACCAGAAGGATTTGGAAGGATTAAGGAAGGCGGAGCCCAGCCACTATTAGCCTAATATGGAGCTTGATGTCCCTTGAAAATCGCATCGCAAAGGTTGTATTATTAGTTTCAGGCATTATAGGAGATTTGAAAGGACTCCGATGGCAATGAGGGGTTGAATTAAATCGTAAGCTTTTGGTCTTTGATTTATTTTTTTGTAGAGCCTATACCAGCATGGAAAGCAAGACATCATTTCCATGACAATAACCAAGAAGCCATGCTCTCTCCACGCTCGCTCAAACTACAAACCATTACTCAGTAAGTTACTAGCCTGTTTACCTCACCTCTATCGTAATGAGTGTTCTTGTACTCAGACTCATTCCACCTTGATGTGTAGTACTACAAGACTGGGGCCTGTATGAAGAAGTGCGCCCTCACAGTTGTCAGAGAGGGGCAAGACCTCCACTGAACTGACTTACTGACATCTCACTCAGTGCTAAATTGATTGCACGTTTTGTGTCGGCCCCTTTTGGTTGTACATGCATAAAAGAGACATAGCGCTGTCAGTGCACAGAGCCTGTATATCAACTCATCCCTGCACTCAAGCACTCGTACACTACCTGTAACTCCAGTCAACCAATCCTTGCTAAAATCCCGAGTGATTTTTCCCATGAGCACAGCTTTTGATATGACACATAATAACTTATTTCAGGATTTGTTCCTTGAGTTTGCCCTTGTCTAGTTAAATGACACTTCCTAAGTTTCTTCCAGCCAGTGTTTTAGTCTACTGTGTTGTATTATTTGACAAGTTCTGCCTTTCTGGTATGATTTGGAAATGAACCCCAAACACTATTTGTCATTAAAAGACCAATCATTCAGTATCATGTTTTGTCTCTCCTGTAACTTCAAGCTGCATTTGTTCTATGTAAACTTTTTTTTTTCATTTCGTGTTCTAGACAAGCCATTTCTTCCCCCCAATACTTTAGTCTTCCCATGGTGTCATTTTTTCCTGACTACTCCATGCTATTCTTAAATTCAGTTTCTTGTAAGAGATGTACAAAGGCACACAACCAATAAGTTGGTAACTATTTCTGGACATATGTCACCATTTTGTCCATAGTCTGAGTGACCAGCTGGAGGCCCCATTGTCTCCTAGAGCAAGAAACACACCACTCAACTTCCCCAGGTGGGAATTGATGCGGTTACCATGGTAACCACTTTAGCCCATGCTGCCCTCATCTCACTAATCAACTCCATCCTTTACATATTTTCTTTTCGTAGTAAATGATAATGCAAGGGCCATATTAAATGATACAGACACTCGATTTTGATTGCTGTGTTTTTTTGGAGCAAGCATCCTTTTGAGCCAGGAGGACAGGCAGCATCCAAATTTCTTGGCTGCAGCTCACAGTAGCATTCACGTCCATGGCAGGGGTTTGAAACCCCCGCTTTCTAGCGGATTTCTGCTTTTTTGTTGCATTTGCTGAATTTCGTTTCCTCTCTTTGGCCGTTTTTTCTTCCTTGCGTAAGCGCCCATTTTTTCCCTTTTTACGCGACGCAATGGCCAGACCAAACTTCGCACATCGTCTTTCCAGCATTAGTATGTATGGAACTGAATCTACTCTACGACACTGTACATGAACATGTACATATACGGATGTATGTACGGTGTATGAGTGTGCTGGGCATTAGTTGGCACGGAGCAACAGCATCCTCGGACCAACCAGTCTTTGTGCTTTGATTTGCTGCTAATGAAATATCAATATTCATATATGAGTCAGTGGGACTTGTTACAGCCGTTCTTGCGTGAACAGAAGTCGTGCCTAACAAGCTCCACTATAGCTTGTGGTAGCAGGCAACACAATCTGCACTGGGATCGGACAATCTAAAAGCTTTGACATGTGATGTGCATTCTTATAAAGAAGTGAAATTTGAAAACGTAGTTAGGTCAGGTGGGAAAAGGGCCAACTCACTTTACGAACCTCGATATTTACAATTTTGGTATACGTACACGTAGTACTAGTTCATTTTAACTTCAGGAATTTTAGCCAAATTGAGAACAGATGAAGAAAATATAAAATTAAAAATGTTCATACCCTAAATTGCAAGACAATGGCCAAAAGTTGCACCAGGAAGCTGTGAAATGCACCACAGACCATCTACATTTCCAAATTTTCCCGGGGCCCTTAAGCAGGCCCCGAACCCCACTCCGTGTATGCTTTGCACTCTTGATTTCAGCTATTTTTTTATGTTCCATTCACACCCATGCTTTGAGAAATGGCTGTAGATATCAACCAGTCTCTTACATAGGCATACATGAAGTGCCTAGCCGCAGCCACATAATGTGGATGTAGCTTCATACTTGTATTGTGAAAAAGGGATGTCAGCCAATAGACTAGAAACCTGTCCTCAAAAAACTAAGCCTGTCAGCGGCAACATTATGACTTCCATGAATAACAAAACCTTTTCTCTGTAATTTGAAAAGTACATAAGAAATTAATCTGGACACAGCAAGATCACAGACATGCAGAGATCAAATCGATATAGGAAAACATTTTGCTCAAATGGCCACAGAAATGAAAGTTGAAATTGGAAAAACCAGCGGATTTAGGTTGAAGGAGGTATTCCTGTCAGTAAGCTTAGGTGTCATATTTTTGGATATTTAGCCTGGACCAGCATGTGTAATTTCATTCCACTTTCATTCTTTTTAGTTGCTTCTCACTGTGTGATTTTCTTTGCATGCCTTCAGTTTGTAAGTTACTGCTGTCGTTTTTTATATGTCCACAAATACCATACCATTTTATTTATTTATTTTTCATTTTCGTGTTGTTTTCTCCACACCATGTACATTTTCCTGAACACTCACAGTGGTATTTAATTTCATTGCAGATTTTCTTTGCTTTCAGCACAAATTTTGCAGGGTCCCCAATGTCCGATAAAAGATGGTAAAAACGTCTCTTTTTATTGGTCAGTGACAGCAAAGAATGTTACCGTCAGATCGTGCAAACCTTCATGAAGGTCTCTGATTGAACCTGGCCTTCGGATGTGATACAAAAAAAAATTATGCACAAGGTTGTATGTACAACAATGTCTGTTGGACAATCAAGATCTGAAGGGGAGGCAGCTCCTCTTTGGGATGTGATAAAAGGATTCTGCCTGCTGTAGGCTTCTTTCTGCTGTGGCTACAGTTTTGTATTCCTCTGGAAGTGTGGCTGATTGAGTCTCATGCAGATGATCTCTAGCTGAAGCAGTCAGCTGTGTCCCTGTGACTGTGACTTGGAGTAATACAGGTGTCGATGGGAAGTGGTTCCAGCCATTAGCTTGTGGCTTTTTACACAGGCTATTTTCAGCAGAATGGACACAAAACCCATCGTTTGGAGAATATGCACTTCAGTTGCATGACACGTGGCACAACTTCATAAACTTTATAAGGGCTGGTCTTTGCACAGAGTATGCTCAGTTAATAAACCAGAAAACATGCATTTGCCGTGAATGTCGTTAACTGTTTCTACCTTCATGATCTCCTACATTTTTACATTGTATATACTGACCTGTTAGCATGCAGTCATGCATCACGCAATTCCAGATTTTTTCCTAATTTTTTTTCAACATTTCTTTTACTGCAAGACTGGTGCTGGAATCACTTGGTTCTAACTGACGTAGTCAACCCACAAATATTCACCTTCATGCTAGAATTGCAAAACATTACGACTGAATCGCTTTTTAAAAATTTAGCAGCATGTTCACTACAATATTCTTTGATATGTGCCAGGTACATCTTAACAAATTCCAATTGTCCGTCGTCGTTTTGTGTTTTTGTGTAAATAGCATACTTGTGTTTCTGCCAAGTAATTACATGTTTATTGGGTTTCACTTGAATGAAAACCATATCTCCTCATTTTCAATAATGGGGGTGGTCAGTGTCATCTCTACATATTTTGGAAGACAAATTACTCTTACCTGTATTCAACCAAAGGTTTTGCTTGACGTTTTGCAATATTTCTCAGTGCTTTCCAGTTTTTTTTTTATTCTTGAGTGGAAGTGTTCTTGTATTTACATGTAATTAAATTGAATACCTCAGAAGTTGATTGCTTGGGCAAATACAGGATCTGGTTGTACCAATAACAAAGCCAGACTGTTTGGCTGAGTTAAAAAATTAGAGTTTATTTGTTCTTGCGAATGTCCATATTCATGCAAATGTGTGCCATGTTGTGCATAAGTTGTCAGCTTCTGACCGTGTGTGTTCTGAGTCTTGTTTCTTGTATGGTATGCGTACATGTGTTTTGTTCTCTTTTTCTTTTACTTACGCAGTGTGTCACATGACACGGACGTCCCACCATCCCCTCCTTCGTCACAGCCAATTCTGACCTGGTGGGTACAACCATCCGGACTGTTTTTGTTGTTTTTAAAAGCTCTCGGTGCAAACAGTAAAAAAAACCCATATCCATTCACCTCTATATGCTCATAATCCCCCATCACATGCAACAGATGATTCTCTGGAATGTTGTCAGATCGGGAGTAATTTTCCACATACTTGCTCTTATCATTGTGCTTATTGGCTGGTCCCTTGACGTGGTGGCTTTTCCATTCATTGTGCCTACCCCCTCCTGCAATATTATCCTCTTGCTTATTCCTACATGAGACTCCCCCCCCCCAAAAGAAAAGAAATACATCAAGCTTCTGCACACAAAAATTCCTCGTTGGTGGAAATTGCAAAAATATTCAGCATAAAGTGCATTTCCCTGGCATGCAATAATGTTTCTTATGTCATAATTGCATGTTGGAACCAGGGAAGGGAATGCTCTTTCTGGAGGATGGCCCCATAGTTTCAGATATTTTGCCATGTCGTGGTTTCACAAGGCCACAAATGCAATTTTATTTCTCCATGTTGTTACGTGATGAAAATAGATCTTCACCTTGTGTGATGTTGCAAGGTTGATGCATCTCCTCAAATGTGGGACTGAAAATTAACGGGGCATTTGCCAAAATTCTGCCTAGTATTTGAAAGAAAAGGCTGCTGCGTTCATCCAAATTTCACATGATATTAATCTTGTTCAGGGCATGTCTTTCATATTGTACAGTTTCTACGTTGTATCTCAGTGTCGTTATGTACCAGCAGGAGTCCATGTTTCCATGATTACAGGAGGCAATGTTTCCATGGTTACCAGCCAGTCCTCACATTTGCTTTTCATCTTATCACTGCCTTGAGCCTTTATTTCATGCTTAACTTGAACATGCTATGCTTTTAATACCCATACGGTACATGCACATCGTAAACAGAACTAATTTTTATCCATGACTGTTATTGAGGGGTGGAGGGCCTTGCATAACCATTGCAGACTCGTTTGGTCTGCCAAGAAGTTAGCTGGAAACAGTAGACTGAGGTCCCTTCCTCACACCCAGCAAACTCATCCTCTTGTTCCCTGGACTGCTGGAGGGATCTTTGGCATTGTTAACAAGTTCAAAATTGGTACACTGCGATGTTGGTACTTTGGGGAGAAATAAAGAAAATTGACAGATTTGTAAACATGTATATACACGCCCAGAATCAACAGGTTACCACACTTGCAGTTTCATCTACTTGTGTCTAGTTTTCTTTTGCTTTTCGGTTTATTGAAACAAATCTACATGTAGATATCTCTTCCCCGCTTCATTAACAATCTCCTTTGGGTTTACAAGTGTATACACTCTTATGCTGCTGATGTGCACATGCCATGCTTCATGTACATGTACCATCAACCCAGGGTACACAGACTTTTCTGAAAACATGCTTTCTTCATCTTCCTGCTGCCATTTGACCTTTGACACAAGTAGCTCCATAGTGCAAGGCATTGTGGGATAAGGCAACTACAGGAAGGTTTTTTCCTTGTGCATTATGTGACGCAGATTGCACTGCTGTGTAGCTTCACCATGCCTGAAAATCATTGCCAAGTGAATGACTAACCACACAATTGATGCTTCGTTAAGTTTTCATTCCATTTTGCAGGGTTCTTTCTTTGATGTCGTCAGACAAACACAACTACATCCGACATACGAAGCCTTCAAACCATTTTATTAGTTCAGTAATAGAGTTAAGTGTACGTTAGAAAGAACTAACTGAATTCTTGGCTTAGTTTGTTATTCCAACAATAATGCATCGGTGATTGTTTGTGGAACATGTGAAAAGCACCCAGTACTGCGCCTTTGCACAATTTTATAGTGTCCATAGAAATAAACAGCTGTGCTAGAATCTTTTTGGAGGGGGGTGATTACACGAGTTATACTGAGGGAAGTCTGTCTGTTCTTGTCTCATAGTGTGTCCAAAAGAACTGATAAACTTCCTGAGGAGACCGATACAATGAGCATCAAACAGCTTACCAAGCAGATCAGAACCCTGAAGAGGAAGATACGACAGTATGAAGAGGAGTTTGAAGATCAGCATGGATACAAGGTGAACAAATCGGGAGAACAAAATACTTCCAATCATTTCAACGCGTTTTGAAGTGTCTGTATCACTTGATAACTTGAAAGAAAGTTCTGGTTGAAATTAAGTAGGTCGCTTCTATATTAAGGAAGCCTAATAGGGTCAGGATAACATTGCCACATGAAAGCAGTTCAACAGTATTTCCGTTTTATTTCTTTCTGAATTTGTTTAGAAATATCAGCTGAGTTTGCCAGATTTATCACGCCCTTGAATGCGGTGGTGAATCATTCAGTTCCTCTTGATAGATCCCTTTCAAAATGTAATTTGTAAACACGGACCAGTTAATTGAAAAAAGTTTGTGAGTGTTCTTTCAACAATGGTGTTTTCTTAACCTTTTCTGTTCTGTTTCTCTTGATATCAGCCTTCCCACCTTCACAAGACATCCCAACCCCAAATTAAGAAAATGATGGGAGAATTGAAGAAAGCCAGCAAACAACTTAAAGGTAACAACTTTTTTCAATGAAACAATATCACTTTTTGTTTCCTGTAGGAAAGACTGTTTGATGCATCAGTGGCCTTTGAGGTGGCCATGTGTAGTGGTTGTCATGGTTACAATCACATGACCGCAAACTTCAGAGCTGAGGACTGCTGCAGAGTTTGACTTTTCAGAGAATTTCTTGAATCGTTTTTTAGAAGCCAAAGAAAATGCGGCAAAGGCCAAAGTGCCCTTGTCCAACACCCTGCCGGCCAAGATGATCAGCCGGAATCTGACTAAACAGTTTGAAGAAGCCACAACACTGACCAACATGGAGATTGCTCTGAGGGAGGCGGAAACCAGACTACAAGAAAAGAGAGACGAAGCCGATAGACCTGAGGATATACTTGTGAGTCCAATTCTTTTTCTATCATGGAAGTCTTGGCACCAAACCCTGACTTGCCTGGTCACAGTCTCTTTTGCTTGTAGTTACATGCAATGCCAGTCTGCTTCTTTCACAAAACCTACTATTGCTATTTACAAGCTAGTAATATCACCAACCGTACATGAAGGTTAATATAATCCTTTTGTGTGATATCCGTTTTTTTAGATAATGAACAAGGAACAAGTGCAAGAAGAGAAGACAGCGATACAGAAAGCATTGTTACAAATGGAGAACAAATTTGGAAGGCCGGTAAGATGTTACCTTTAGAATTAAAAAAAAATCACCTTTCATGAGTAAACTGTACATCGCCCTCAAGCGATTGTGCACAGAACAATTACAGAATAATCATATTTATGTACAGGTTGTGTGTATTTGAACTTGTTGTTTCTCTATAAGTCGTCTTAAGTTCAACAGTGATTGGTCAGTAGTCACTAAATTAATTGATTTGATTAAATTTGACTGATTCACAGAGTACCAAAGAAACTAAAGAGTTGATGAAGCCGTTGTACGATCGCTACAGGAACGTCAAGAAGCTGTTAGTCAAGCTGGTAAGGAGTCTAAGTGATGGCTGTCATCAGTGCTTTATATCACAGACTGGTAAGGAGTCTAACAGCAATGTAAGCCTGTGTCTGGAGAATTAATTTTGCAAAGGAGTGACAAAGAGGCTTTTTGTTTTCTCACAGGAACTCCGACAACCAGAGGATGGCCAGTCCTCGTCCCTGGATCTACAAACAATCAAAGAGCACGAAGAAACGAAAGAATTCCAACCCAAGCAAATGGTAACAACAACAAAAAATCTAGTCACTATCTTTAAGTGTCTGTGCTGGCGTCTGGCCAACAGAATATCTGCCTCAAGCAGAAGCACCATTTCATTGGTTGGAAAGAGCCGTGTTGGTAGGGAGCATCCATTTTTGTTGGTAGCCACACTACCATAACATGGATTTCATAGTCATGAACCAAGGAAATGAAGGAGTCTCGTTTGCCAGGGAAATTGCGCCCTCTTGGACAGAATTTCTACAGTTTCAAAGAGGGTGCAGATATAAAACCTGTTTCAGACAATTTCCCAATCAAAACTTGTTGTATTCGGAAGTTTTGCCCGTTAGCCATTTTTTCTCAGCATTTAGGCTTACCCAGAAAGAGAATATGTTTGAGAATATTTTCCTTGCGTAATTCTCCTTACCTTTCCCTATCAGCTCTTTCCAAGTTGTCTAACCTGTATATCTCATGGTTTGTCTTTCATCCAGGGCCAATTTCACAATCTTTACACCGAAGCAGAAGAAGCTGAAGAGGAAGAGATGCCAGCCACAGACTTAGCCGTCACTCAGGAGATCCGGGGTGTCCTCAGCAACATGGACCTGGAAGACAGCTACCCGAGCCCAGCCGACAGCCGGCGCAGTAGCAGCGGCGGCAGGGAGGAGCCTACACCCGCCTCAGACGTCACCTCCAACCTCCATGAGGCATCACTGTAAGTTGTCTCCATGGAATTGCCAAGTACCGCTGCATCCTGGTCACTTAAAAGGTTTATAAGAAGTCATGGAACAGTGCTAGTATTGTTTGTGGTTGGTTTCGTTCAACAGAAGCGAACTCCTGGCCATGCAGAACCAATCCAGAGAAGACAAGAAGAGACTACGTAAGATGCTGAAAGAGTTTGAGGACAACTTCTTCAAGGAGTCAGGGCGCACTGTGCAGAAGGAAGACAGGGTTCCCATGGAAACGCAGTATAACGAGTATAAGGTGGGCCCACGGAATAGTCTGGTCCCTTGCCAACTTGTGGTGTTAAATGTGCACGTCTGAAATAGATAAGGAAAGAGTTTAAAATGAAGTTTAAGTTCACATGGTGATCAGTTGCCCTCTGTGCCCTCTACAGTGCTTGCACTGAGCCAATAAAGTTCAAACGCCAACTTGACTGACTCTGATGTCACTATCTTTAATCATCTCATGATCTTTCCCTCTGCATTGAAAATAGATCAAGTTCAGTACATCTCTTATATGCAGACTTTTTCATATTTTCGGTTTTCCTGCCTTGGTTTCTGTTACCTACAAGTCCATGTACTTTTTCTCGTCACAGAGCTGAATGTGTATTTAGTTGCTAGAGTGCTAAATGGTTCATCTCACACACTTGTGGCATCAAGGCCCAACAACGGCGAAGTATTACCTACAGAAAATCAAATAGTAGCTTGTCGGCCAAATTGGAGGATACGTTACTGTTGTCTTGATGCCTCAAAGTTTCCTTTCAGCAATGCATATGCATGATGTTCACTGACAGAGGTGGGCACCTGCCTGGTACTGGTATGCAGGGATTGTCACAGTCAGAATGTGTGACATGGAAACCAGTGTAAAAGCTGCCATATTTAAACTGGTGCCTTTGTCCTTCCATAGTCCAGAATGTAGCAGATGGACAGGGAACCAGCATACTTTGTGTCAAGTTGTAGGCAAAGAACAACCTTTCCTGGTCTGCATTCTTGAACGTAAAGGGAGTGAACATGTGAACCAGTGTAATTACCGTTCACTCTCCCTCGTCGCCAGGCTGTACAGCGCCCTCAGTAGTATGTGCACATGTCTATAGAACAGTTCTACAGGGATTAATATGTATAGAACTGTGTTGCAGACTGCCATTCGTCATCACTGGGTGAGGTACAATAGCACTCTAGTCCTATCCAAGCTCTGTGGCCTCAGTAAGATTTCCTTCTGATCACCAAGACTGGCATGTACATGTACATCTGGGAATAGCTAGCCTGGGCCTTAACCTCTCTACTCTCTGTGTGTCCCATTATCTCTCTTGTCACAGCGAGTCAAGGCTAACCTTCGGCTCCTTGAAGCCTTATTGTCCAAGCGCATAGAGTACACATAGTGGTCGTGGTGTTAAAGTGACTGTGTTTGTAGTTTCCCAGTTCTTTGCTTCTTGTGGTGAGACTTTTTTCCTCCATCTGTTTTTCTTGCATGCCGCAGTGCCGTTTTGTTTTGTCTGTCTTTAGTTTAGCGCGCATCCCACAAGGGTTATTTTTTGTTGCTGACCATTAACCCTGCACAAGTATGAAACAAGTGGTTCTCCATATGTCTTTGATCGGAATTTAACTTTTGAGCTGATTTCTGCACCTTACAAAGCTAGCAACCTGTGCTACTCTTTAATGTGACCTGCCAGCATACATGTAGCTAGATTGAGTATTTATATAGCAGAGATATTTGTGACAATTGATTTGCTGCCTTTTGCCTCTGCACTTAGTTACTTCTGTCAGTAGGAAAGTCTCCGTTCCCCCATTCAAATAAATAAATAAATAAAGAATGCTCTAACATTTTGACACACAGCTAAATGACAGACATTTCCCTGTACGGAATAATTTTGTTGCCACACATGCCTTTTCTCAACTTATCCCATTAACCTTCTATCTGTTGCAGTGCACTTAGTTTTTACAAATGTTTTTGCCTGCATTCATCCTCGCTGCATGTGACCAGCACGCAGAAAAACCTGCACTCTTTCAGTTTATTGTTTCGAACAGTTCTTAAAAAAACAATTGTCCTATTTCCTCAAGTTATGTTTGACAGCAAACCTGATAACCCATATCGTTCCCAAGTCAGACAATAAAACTGTGCCGTCGGTTTACTTCCTAAGAATTTGAAGGAGTCAGAAAGCTTTCTTGTTACAATGTCGAAAGAGTCAGGTGCAACTGCAAGTTGTTTATAAATGTGACATAATTCTAAGCAGTCCACACTGTGTCATGTGCTCTTCCTCCATGGGAGTTGGAGGTTTACTGTATTGAAATAAAACCTGGAAAAGTGAGACATACTTTGGAGATTCTCCGGGCGTTTTTTTGGTATAAAAATGATCGCATGGCTAAGTATTAGACCTGTGGCCATTTAAAAATGCATGCAGGCCTCACAATCCTCGTCACATCATCTCATCTCCATCATCAGACTCCTTGTTTTTCACCTCACCTCACCCACCTCCCCATTGTCACATGGTTTGTTCTCACAGAGCTATTTTCGCAGCAAGGCAGCTGCATGCTACATTGTTCACTAGTGGCAACGTAACCGTGGCAAACAGAGTCACCAAACAAGATATTACCAGTAAACACTTTGTGTTTGTTTGTTTGTTTTTTCATTGGGCAGCATGTCAAGAAGCATCTTAAGCTGCTCGAAGCGCTGGTCGCCAAACATCGAGTCCAGGCCTCCTCTCTACCGGAAGAACTGGTTCTCGCTGACTTATAACAGGAGCTCAGTTGCTTTCCTGTCATGGAAAGATGCTTCAGGTTTTGTGCACAGTCTGTTGAAAAATTAGCAATGTTCCATTCCACAATCAATGATGCCCTCAAGCATTGTAAAGCTTTCTGGGGATGTTTGCAAGGATTCAGAGGGTCTTGCAACTAGACTCATCTCCATGCCACATAGTGGTCTGAAATTGCATTGCACCTGAAACCAATACAAGGTACCATTCTGTGGACATCCCTAAGAGGGTGACATGACCCTCTAGTGTTAAAAATACACAGAATACTGCTCCTTGTAAAGACTTCACGCCACTTCCTACTGTTTGAAACAAAGCAGATCGCTGTCTTACAAAACGGATGGAGATTTTTTGGAAACACATGTCAGGAACCAATCCACTTGTTATGCGTCTGAGTTGCTAATAAAATCCAGCAAGCCTTTTTTTTCCATAAATGATCTTGTGCCTGCAGTTCGTGCTCATTTGCAGCTTCAGCATTAATGCTGACATCAGCTGTGTGTTATAAATTACCATGGCAACTAAAAAGCAGTGTAAAGTTGTATGGATAAAGTTTATGTTGCCTTTATTAAGCTCAGGAAGTCACCTACGCATTGCATCCAACATTGTAGCAAAATCAGTTTAGGTTCCAAACTCAAAGAGCTATGCAGCTGGTTGTCTTTTGTTCTATATTAAACAGTTCACGTTGTACATTGGCTGTAGTGTAATCCTCTTCACTACGGTTGGAGATTCTTGTAAGGACAATGGAAGATATCTGTCTGTAATCTGACAATCATTTTGGCACCAAATCCTGTGCCTTGAGATTTTTTGTAATTTCTCAGTCACTCAATTTTAAAAGTCCAATTTTAAGTGACAGTTGTATTGCTACAGAGCTAAAGTACTAGATTAGTACTTCAGAGGTAAAGTACTTGATGTGATAGTACTGCACTGTTAAGGTTCAAGGTAAGTACTGTAGAGCTAAGTACTAAAGATAAGCACTATAAAGGCAAAGTACTACAGATGTGAAGCACTAAATTAATATGAATAGTTCAGAATTTCTTTGTGTTGTTGCAGATATCAGGGTGAATCCAAAATTGAACAGACAGCTCTTTCTCAAAAGCACTATTTTGTACGAAATTTGGAGATTCTTTTATTTATTGAAGCAAGTTCCAGGGAACTCTTGGCAAATTGTTCCAGAAGTGCTCAAGATGCCTAGTGCTGTAAGCAGGAGTTTTGGAGTTCCGAACTCTTTTCCCTATGTGATTTTTTCTCCTTTCTTTTCTCCCTATACGAAGCAGCCACAAAGTCTCTGAGAATTGCCACATGTCACAGTTGTTGGTCTGTTGCAGGCAATTTTTAACGATGGCTTACCAAAGGGATTCCAAAAGTGTTAAGCTTTTTTCGGGCATATAAATGGTTTTTGTCAGGGCTTGAAGAGAAAGTATTATGTACAGACTGAAACAGATTGTTGTTGGTATGTTAGAAAACAAGTTCATCGTCAGCGAGAACTGAGTTGCTTTGTTTGAGAAAGTTGTGTACTAAAAGGGACCATAACTGAGTCCGGGGGAAATGAGTACTGTTGTTAGTTACTGATATATTGAACTGTGTGATGTGACATTGTGATTGAAGGACTTTTAAGGCCTCTTCTTGAGTGTTGCCTGTCATGGAAATCTGTCAGAATTAGTTGTTTTGCATGTGTTGGAAGAATTCGTTAAGACGAGACAAGACACTGCCACCATGAAGTGCAAAAAGTGAAAACAATGTTTTATCTGAGAAATGTTGCAAAATGAACATTTTTCAAGATGAGTACTTTGTACATAAGAGATTTTTTACGAAGAGTTTTCACTGTATTAGAATTGTTTAAGAAAAAAGGAAAGAGAAATTTGTTGTGAAGAACAAAATAATCAACAAATTGAAGTTGTTTTTGTAAGATGTGATTTTGGTACTTAATTCATGAAAGTAAGTAGTTCAAAGGTTTGTGGAAGTTGCACATTTGGCAGAATTTGATTACAGTTTTAATGAGGCTTAATCCAACCAATCACAGCATGGTGTGCGATCAAAAATCAATATGAGGCCATTTTTTGCAGTGCATAATGGAGGAAAGTGGACATCTATTTGTAGCCAACTGCAAAATATCATTCATTCATGCACAATGCATAATCTACCAAGTGGTTAATTTAATGAGGATTGGCACAGCTTAAAGCTAGAACATTTTTCTGCTGTCGACTTCCAGAGGTATGTGTTTACGCATGGCACCAAAATGTGCATGTTAAGTGAAAACAGCGACAGGTGTATAGATAGATAGAAATGCATGCAAGATAGCAACCCTAAAGTTGAATATTGACCTCATTTACGACGACTTGGCAGAGCACTGTGAATTACAAATGGCCAAACTAAAACACAAGTTTGAAGGCTCTCAAACAGAAAGTTTTTATCTGTATTCAACAAACATGTTGAAACCCATTTGTGAAAGTTGTGATCAAATCAAAGGCTTTATCCAGGGCCATCAAATGACCTTCCCATTGTTGGCCTTGTACATGTGTGAGCGGTTTTTATGAAGTTGGGGGGGCATTGTGGTATCCCAGTCATTTCCAGGATGTCTGTACTTCCAATTAAAAATTCTAGGACAAAATCGTTGCAACCTAGGCTACCCTGGATGAAGGAAATTGGTGGCTGGCCCTCCTGTGTGTCTTGACTCGTTGGATTAACCATTTAAGGCCTGCTGTTGGATAGGGCTTTGAATATGTCGATTACTGGACAACCGCAGCCCAGCAGTCATGGTCAAAACAATCCCGGCATTAAGGGGTTAAATGTTAGGCAGCTTTCGTGTAACATCCTGTTCAGATGGAAATATGACCTTTGAATTTTTTTCAGGACATTTTGTCCATTTCCATCGTGCACCGAGGTGTGAGGTGCATTTCTCGTGTCAGTAAGGGTATTAAATGTGTTCTCTGATATGTGGTCCGGGTGGTGTGATCAGTGGGAAGGGATCACCCTCCCTTGGCTTACATGAGCTGTATGTCGCCCTCTGTCGTGCTACACAGGTGTAATAAGTTGTTCAAGTGGGTGTTCTGTCCTACTGGCCAGAGATCACGTATCCCTCGAGATCAGCATCAAGTTGATCGTAACACTTTCAGTTTCCAAAATCAGGAAAGCGAGTAGAAATTTCTACTTGATGGTAAAAAAGTTTGTTCCAACTGAAGGTTACCCATCTTGAACAATAATTAGTTTTGTTTTGGTGACAGCCCAAAACAGGATTTCCTTTCTCATACAGTGCCATGTACTGTTACAGTTCATCTCTGACCCCAAGCACAAGGCTAATCTCCCCTCCCCCCACATTGGCATCTACTGATATTCAAGATTAAGAAAGGGGGGGCGGAAGTATGAATAGAAGAAGACAACCAGGCTAAGGGGAAGACAGCAGGGCATGAACATGTATTGCAATGCCTGTGACAATATTTCTAAAATTCTGGTTATGGCTTTGACTAAGTGTCCTACTTTCAAGCTCTGAAGCTTGAATCAACTCAAATTGAGTAGCTATGGCTTTGAGCCATAGTCTTTCATGTAAAGGATTATAGCCACAGGCTTACAATGACATATCCACATATTGAACCTACTACCATGTACATGAATTCAAGAATGTGCCCAGGTGAGTCAATTGAAGCAAAGAGTTTCCAAGTCCCTGGATTTGACTTATACCAAACCTGGGAACGCTACAAAACTATTTAGTACTGTTAGAAATTATAGTGTGTAGTGCCCTTTGTGACCAAAATTCAGATTTATATGTAAACAAAATTGTTGGGTAATGTGCAGTTGTGAATATTGTATTGTACACATGTAAGATAACAGAATTCAAGCCTTTTTGAGCAAGCCTCTTTAAAAGCTGTGTACAAAGTTTTGTTTTGTTGCATTGGAAAGAGAAGTGTTTGTTCAGTAGTTGTAACTTCAAGTCACCTCTTTCCACTTCTTATTTTTGGTGCATTTTGTGAAGTCTTTACCACCAATGTAAGTGAACTGTTCAAGAGAAGGCAGATTTGGCCACTTGTCTATTTTTCAATAAAATCAGCCAAACGGATCATGTTTTGCATTTTCTTGTCTTATCCTTGAGATGATGTGTGAGGCACTTTTGGTTTGGGGGAAAAATGGGATACCAGATATCAGAAATTTGACACTAAAAAAAAAAATTGCAAACTGCTTGCAGTGGCTAGACTGAGTGCAAACTTAGTCCTCTAATGCACGACGTAGCTGCTCGGTATAAAAGTAGTTTTTGATTGTGATTTTGATTGTATTTGAAAAATTCCCCTGATACAAATTATTCTGCATGCACATTCTTCACAAGTGTTATTTCAAAATCAAAATACAGTGTACATGTATTTGGCATTGAATATATATGTATGAAATTATAAGATATAGAATATAAGATTGCAAAATAGCAAGCGGGTGCTCTTACCCAAACAACTTGTCAAAAATGTAGTTTGGGTTGACTTTATTTGCAGTTGCCATTTAAACACTATTCTTGCTTTCCACCTGTGTGGCCCGGGTTCAAACCCCTCTCCACCTGTGTGGCCCGGGTTCGAACCCCTCTCCACCATACTGACTGGGCTTTCAAAGCCTTCATGTAGGTATCTGCACCCATATCCTTTTCCTTTCTACAGTTTTACTAACCAGCATTATACTAATTTCCTTTGATGATTTACCGTTGAACAATCTGGATAATATCTAACACAGACTTCAGGGGCAAGTTCAGCTTGGTAGCTTTCATGATCCTCTAAAGTCCTCCGTCATGTCCGTTGTGAAAGGAACTAATGGCACTTTCTTTATCTTTAGAGGATATCTAGGGTAATAATGGCCAGGCTCCACTACGCTCTTCTCTTCTCAATCCAGCAAAATTCTCCTGAACATCCTGGGGTTGATGTGATAGAAAAAAAATTCCTGCCAAGGCTAAATTACGGTATATGTACGGCACTCGGAAATAGAAAGCCAAAGTTGCAAGTACCAGCATCAACATACAGTGTACATGTAGTCTGTGTGCAATATTTGTCTACAAGGGTAGTACTGAATGTAGGTACACACATATAAAAATATCCTGCTATAGCCTAGTATCTTCAAGTGCCAAATTCATTCCAAAGATTGAATTGGTAAGAAGGAAAAGTTACAGAACAATGGATACTGGATTGTAAATACATCAAGCTAAGTTAACAAAATAAATGTAAGACTTCAGTTTTTGGCACAAAAATTTTAAGGACGAAAGTACTTGAAAAGTAGTCGGCTGGATACTTTTTGAATACTGTTTTTAAAAAAATGAATTCCTTTTCCACAGTGATGATTTAAATTTATCTTTTTTATCATCTTGCATTTATGCAGCTACCATCCAAGGATTTCGGCTTTGTTCCCTCTAAACCAGTTCACTATTTGAAAGTAAACTTGGTACTTAACACTTGGCAGAAAGGTACTGTACTTGCCTACATCACTAAAAATCAACACTGCTGTGTTTCTTAATTAGCAGCACATGCAATTACATTCACCCAAAGTTGCTGGCAATGAAAGTTTGACAATTCAAGAAAACATACACTTGACATGTTTGCGTGACAAGGCCGTCTTGTGGCATACATATCACTTAACTACTTTAGGATAAAATTACCTTTTTCAAAATAAACAAATTAATTTTTTTTTCTCTAGCTGAAATATGACACATTTAGAATGGAAGCAAAAATTTCAATACAAAGCAAAAAAGCAATAAGCAAGGTCGTGGTGTCATAAAATACAATTCACACATCCATACGGTACTCGACTGGAACACTGTAAATATCGGCACTACTGACGTTTCTAAATTAGACTACGTGTCATCAACTTTGAGAAAGTTACTGGCATAGGAATATATGACAATTAATAACTAAACGCTTAACCTTGCTTGCATGACGAGGCCATTTCGTGGCATACATATGACTTGACTACTTTACGGAAAAATTACCCTTTCAAAATAAAAAACCTCAAATTTCCATTCTTTGGCTGAAATAACACACACTAAAATGGAAGCAAAAATTTGATAAAAATAGTAAGCAGGGCTTTTTTTAAAAATACAACTCGCACATAATTATAGACTATTACAAAAATTTTGAACTCCACTAAATGACACACATTTCTCAAATGTCCCAAAATAATAAGCGACTATAATATATCAAGCTAAAATATTTTGGAGAATATACATATATGTATTAAAAGGTAATGGAAAATATGATTTTCATGCAAGCTTTTGGTTTATAGCACCTATGCAAACTATTATAAGTTTAACCAAAATATGAGTTTTATTTACAACATACACGTATGTTTTTCTTTTTTGGTGGTTTAATACATTAGTAAGTTTCATATTTGAGCTCTGTCCAGCAAGTCAATGTTGTCATCATTTTATTGCGAGTTATTTTAAACAATCCAGTGTTTTGTTGACTTAATCAAACCTGGTGAAAGACAGAGCTATCAAAGCAACATAAGCCAGAAGGAAATTTAAACAGACAGAGTAAGTTATGTCAGCCCCACTGTCCGGTTGTTGCGTCGTGACTTCCAATAGAACCTCAGCGCATTCCTCGGTAAAGTTGCATGTGCCGATTGCCCTTTCAAGCCCTGTCCGGAATTCCTCCAAGGAGCAGAATTGACCATTGCAGAAATCCAGCTGTACAGGACTCTCGTTGAGGAGGGTTTGTACCCGGAATGTCACCGCAGAGTCAGAGGTGCAGCCGTACAAAGCAAATGCCACATTGCCTGCAAACGGCGACATGTGCGCAGCACGAAAGGTCCGATTGATGTTCTCTCGAAAGTTGGAAGCGACGAGTGGTAGAGGGTCGTCAAAGAGGCCCAGGAGTGCCACGAGGGGCACAATTGTTTCGGAATGTGCAAATTTGAAGTTGCCAAGAGGAGATCTGAAAAGTTTAACAAAACTTCCTGATGAGACCACTTACTGAACACAAAAAAAGGGATGCTGTTTTGCCCAAATGACTTTTTATGAAAATTCTGCTTCAAAGTCTGACAACTTCAAACCTAAATTTGTCAGTTGAAATGAAAATGGAAAGAAGGTAAACTGGTCCTTCAAATTTCAACCAAGATAAGGATGAAACCACATCCCACCCCCTCCACATCAGCCCATACCTCAAAGTCAAGCACTCACATGAGCCTCACATGCAAGTCACATTTGCTGGTGGGTTTAGCATTTCTGCAAACACTTTATGAAGGATGCAAATATTGAATACATGTTTGTGGCCCCTGTTAGGTTTGCCTACACTACAATTATTTATTTTTTTGGACAAACACTGGCTCATCCCTCGGAATTCAATGCTGTTTCTTTCCACGATGGTCCTTGTTTATTTAAGGTCAAGTTCTCATGAACTTACTCCAACTCTACATGCATTCTTCAAGTTTGGTATGTACAGACCCATAGTTTGTCCTAGCCTACAGATGCCCTTTACCCTTACCAATTTCCCCCAAGCCTGCTGGGGTGTTGCCCTAGCCTCAAACTGAACCTTTGTCCACCCATCCTGTGAAAGCTCTCAGTTAACACCAATTAAAATTAACTTTCAGATTTACATCACTCAGACAGGAACAAAATCAGACAAAAAAGCTGTGGCTGACAGCACGTCAGATAACTAATTATGCAGAACATTATAATTCGGAAGCCCTGAGAGCTACAGCGTGCTCATGGCATGCATACCATCACACATAGATCAGAAGCTAATTAGTTTTTTTAATTGTGCACAGAAAACATATTTACTCAAAGTCACAACGACTGTGCCTGTTGATGGGATGATATTGATATTAACATAAAAGAAAAGAAATGGGTGGGGGCAGTGATGTGACTCGTTAATTTCAATTTGCCTTAAGTCTGGACTTTCATCTGCATCCGCAATTCTACAATACTTGCTTCCATAACAAACTGGAATTTTTAACAAATGCTTGTTTTGTACTATATGCAAATATCATTATTCACTGAGGTTTTAGTAATAATACTTTTCATTGCTAGCAAATACTGTTCCCAACAATTCACTTGGAATTGCATGGCTCTTGGAGTTCAAGGGAAATATCTCTTGGATTTGGAGCTGGAAATTGGGTCTGGTACTTACTGCAAAGGGCTATTAACCCTGTCTTGCAGGTAGTTGAGTGCATCTTGAGCAAGTGTACAACTGATTCTGTAGTTGATGCTAAACCCATAAGCTTTGTTCCAGTAATTCTTCAACTCGGAGTGGTATTCTGGGGCGTAGAGGTCTTCCAATTCAAACAGTTTACACCAGGTTTCAGTGTCATTGTATAGGGCACGGTCATAACCACACATTTCAGAGAGCAAGATCACTTCCTCTGTAAAAAGAAATATTATTGACACGATAATTTGATTTACACTGTCTTTAGCCTATTTATAAACTCAGAAATGTTGGGTGTGATCGGTGGCAGTGCACAATGGTTTTGCAGAGTTTTCAGAATTATACTTAATTTTTTTTTTATCTTACCTCTGGAAATGTCCCAAGTACCTTCTCCGGGGCCTGCTAGCTCCTGAGCAACTCTCAGCCAAACTTCCCCGATCTCTGGCCCGTCTCTGAACTCGTTTTGCTCTCGTTTTGTCCGCCCACCATTCACAGCCTCCGTGCACTCCTCCCAGATATCGTAAAACCTCAACAGTGGGTCATTATCGATAGGATTATGCGGCACGGTTGTCGAAGTTGGGGTTGGACTTCCAGCATTTTCGGTACACCGGACGGTGAAGGCCCTCTCGGAGTAGTTGGTCTGGCAAGTTTGGTCATCTCCAACCACGCCTTCGATGTAACCCCGAGCGCTATCGATGGTGCGTGTCTTCCCCGTGCTCTGGAACGAGTAGCGGCCCAGGTCGACATCGGAGTCCGGGAACAGCTCAGGGAAGCGATTCTTCAGTCTGCCCGCCAGTTCTCTCATCTCACTCCACCCTGAATCGGCTAGCATAGATGCATTGGATATTGGGACCTCAGTCACATTCCGGAGGTACTGAAATTCGGGATTGACGTCCGTGCTTCGAAGCCGCTCGATGATGTTATGCACATCTTCGAGGTCCCCATCGCTCGGGTAGCGAGTGCCGTGTCGGTAGACGGTATACACACCGTATGGTGTGCAGTTATCCAGGCCTTCTGGTACGCTGGCTCCGGTCGATTCAGCCAATTGCAACCAATGCAATTGACTGTTTCTTATGGAATCAGTGGTTTCCAAAGACAGATCGTAGCCAGTTTTGGTCGCATAGAGTGGAACTGTATTACCAACTGGTCCACAGAGTGTCAAAAGAGGAAAGAAGATGAGACGAAAGATTGACAGTTCTACTTGCAACACGTCCATTGCAAAAGGTTGGCGGTGACCAAGTGGCTCGCTAGCGCTAGTTACTTCGCAGCGCAGCACGCGTACGTCAGACGAGTATATGGATAGATCAAGCATAGAGCTACAACCCAGCTCTATGGATCAAGCTTGGAACTAGCTCCATTAAAATAAAATGGCGCCCTCATACGTTGGATCATCAACATCGATCATTATCATCGCTGCAAAAAAAATCCAGGCGCGCACAATTCCCGCTGTCTGTATTAATTTTCCCTTAAATTGTGGTCAGAAAGAACCAAAATAAATGGCTAATTTATTTCTTGAAAATTGAAACATTGTTCCCTTTTTCATTAAGTCTTAGAAACTGTCTCTTTTCTTTCAAAGTTGTGAAGTAAACCCAAAGCCCTCGCAATTCTTGACAGCCCCGCCTCTTTAAATCATAGAGCAAGGACATAAACTTACTCTCTGTTTCAATAGACATCTGTACCTTTTTTCCAAAATAATTTGTAACGATTCCCTTATTATCGACAACAAAACATGAATAAATAAATAAAGATAGGAGGAGGGCTGTGAAGTTATAAATAGCACACACATCATTTCCACCTGCCGATGATTATAAAGTGACTGGTTCCCGCAGCATGCGCAGTAAATTTAAGGGATGAACGTCACCGACACCTACGAAGTGACCAATGATGGCGGCGTCCGTGAGTGATGTCCGACACTTCAGTCTGAGCGGACTTTGACATGACGTTTAACCACACAGAGGCATAGGTTTTTACGGTAGCCAGCAAAGTTGAAGACTTTCTTATTCGAGAACTTATTCAAGTATTTTGCCAGGGTAAATCGTCTGTCAAACGGTAAGAATGTAGGTAACAGCCTAAACAGGACAATGAGGGCCGAAAAATGCAGCCAACATGGCCAACCAACCTAGCCCCAGTTGTGTGGCACGGACTCTCACTCCCGCTCCATCCTTAGCCACACATCCGCATACGCAATTTCGCGTCGGCGCACTGAAAATTTTCGGTGCACCCACTTATCATTGTGGGCACAATTCCTTTTGCACACAGGGATGATCCTTAACTTCTCCGCTTTCTTAGCGCCATTTATTGAATGATTTCACTCAACGTTCTCAACCATGATGGCATGGATGGGGGAATTTGTTCTTATCCCTCCGTGGTCCAACCAACCCCCCATCATGACCATCATGGCCATGCCCGCTCTGTATTCTAGCATTGCGCTTATAGTGTAATTTGACAACCAGAAATAGAAGCCATTACTGCGGTGGCACAATCACGACAATGCTCGTGGATCATCATGTGAGGATAGGTGATGTGCTCGTGTTATGGGGTATAGAGCAGACATCCCTAGATTCTCACAAAATGGCAAGTACCGTGCCAGTGAAAACAGCCACCATGGTGACATACACATGCAAAAGCCAGTCCGAGGATCGGGTTACACAATCTTTTCTTCGATCAGGACGAACGCTCACGTTCACTGCAGTTGTTGTCATCGGCGCGGTATGGTTGCTACCCACACACTTGCGTCAAGCTGAAGAACATGCGTGTGATTGCCACCGCAGTTAGGGTGTCAAATTGGATTAGTTTAAATAAAGGCCTATTTCTCCATGGTCCGAGTAACCTAGACCCACGAATTTCCTTTTTAAACATTTGGACATGGTTGGGCAGTCACCCAACTACATCATGTACATATAGGCCAACAGTATGTCTATGGAGGAAGGAATAGCCTTCCTTCATGGTATGTCCCAATCATCGCATTATCAATCATCAAACAGCATTGCTGGTCTTGCTGGTTTTCAGGTTGTGTACAAAGTCTACATAGAACTATAAATGTAGGCCAATTCAGTGTTTTTTGACAAAAGTAAAATTGTTCCCATCAAGTTGTCATGATTGTGCAGCACAGTAATTGTTCAGGAAATGTTCCACAGATTGTGTAAAGATCGAGAGATTTCAGAAATCGACTGATTGTGCCCAACATATACAGGTACATACATGTACTTCCTACCCTAACAGTCCTAAATCCTCCAATTTCAATATGATTTTACATACACCCTAGGGAGTCAGGGTCAATAATGGAATCATTTACATAAGTCACCACTGTTGGGATTATTTTACTAAGTACTGAAATTTTTTAGTTTATTACAGATGTCATTATCATGATTATCGTCATTTCGGGCAGAAGAGTTAGGGCAGTGGAGTCAGTGCCCACTTTTTCAACTGGGGGACATGACCCTCCTTCATTGCACATTTGACAGGTCTTTTAATGGGATGGGGCTTTTTGGATCGGTCTATGACTGACATGACTGATGTCTGATGGTCTCACAACTCCCCTCCCCTCCTAATAATTGTTTTGTCACTTTCGATTGTCATGGATGGCTGTCATGGTAAGGAGGATGAATTTTTTAATTAAATTTAGGTTTTTTTCTTGTAATTGAACTCAGGAAGATGTCAGTTGCCGTGTGTGAACCTCCAGCAGACAGGGTACGATCACTAGCCTCCTTAGGCTCAGCTGTGGAGGTAGACCATAACGTGCCTGTCATTAGATACTTCAGATCTGGCAAAGAAATGATGAGGATGGTAAGTCCATAATCTAATTGGCCAAGAACTTTCATAAAGTGTCTTTGAAAAAAAGAAGAAAGAACGTATATAAATATTCATGTATTTTGTATTTTCTTCAGGATAATATCCTTACCCATATGCCCTGCCCTTGTAGTTTTTCCCTCAAGTATTATGTAACTATTTTTCCAGGCTGATGTTTACTATGAGGAACATAATTATGAACATGCCTTCATCCTGTACTCCAAATTCATCACGTGAGTTTTTTTCCTTGCTTTCTAGTCAATGTTAAGAGTAGGCTTTATTTAGGAGAAGGGACTTGGATGCGTCTTCAAACTTCATAAGTATCTCAGATTCCAACAGTCCCAATGTCTTTGAGAATCCATTATTTACTTGTGGAAGATTTCTTAGAATTGAGGAAGATACATGTTGAATCCTACACTGCCACAATTTTTTAACAGTACATGTGGCTTAATGCTCCAAGAAAGTTGAAATGCAAAGAATTGGCCATTGGTTTCCTGTAGTGTGGAGGATTTGTAGTATTTTTGAGGGTTCAAGAAGATTGCTTGTACAAGTAACCAGGGAGCTTGCAAAAATAACATCTGTTTGTACACATTACATTTGTTCTCTGTCAGTGTTGTAAACGTGAACAATGATCATATAAAAATACTTCTCAGCCGTCTATTTGTGCACAATTCCACATGACCTTGAATTGCTGAGATTTATTACAGTATTTCACACAGATCAAGCATATGGTGCCTTGTTATGTTAGCCTTCAGGAATTTTACAGCAAATTATTTTACATGTACATGTATGTATCCAAATGGGCAATGAACCCACTTAAGTCTGGTTAAGTCTGATATCATCTCCATATTTGCTATTGCTAGAATGGTCTTCATTGTGTGCCTTCAGAGATTGAACTTTGACCTTGTGTAACACTGACTGTACAAATGCAGTACCATGAACATGCAAACATGCATGAGTGAATCAGTGGTCTAAATATAGACGATGAGGTAATGTGTATACACGTTGGGGATGCCAGTCATTGCTTAATACATCTGAGTGGTAATATGCATGTATCTAGAAATAAAGACTCTTTCAAATTCTACATATTCTCAGACCAACATTTGGACAGTGATTTTAGAAGCACCACCATGGAATTGACAGATGAACATCTTTTTCTTTTTCTCTGCACCCTCAGTATTTTTGTGGAGAAGTTACCCAAACATCCTCTGTATAAACAAGCGCGATCGGAGGACATTAGAGAAACCAAGAAGGTACAGCTGGTTCAGGATTTCTTCATTTATTTCAAAATCGTTTGTTTTATCTCTTTTACATCAATTTTAAGCTATCATAAGGCCAAACAAAACAATAGCTGTGTTTCCATTTACCCGACCCAACCTAAGATATCACATGGGACCTATATCTTTTTATTCATCAAATCAATAAAATCAAAAAACTTGTAGTGCCTTGCCCCGAGCCTAATTTTGTGTACATCGTCCTGCACATTGTATTATTCTAAATTTTTTTTCATGAGATGGACAGCTCTTGTGTGTTTGTATTTCAACAACCAGCTGCTTTACAACATATATTCAATCACAGTGCTGATATGTAATATTGACGTGCACTTGTTCAGTAATAAATCTGACACTGACTTAGTACCTGTTACAAATATATGCCCTCCCCTAAAAAAAATACAGACCATCATCCCACCCTAATTTTTTTGGCCATAAAAATTTAGAGTAAAAAAAAAATTGTACCCAACCGACCACGCTAATTTATTTTTTCAGTGTAATAGGAAACACATGTAGTTGTTTTGTTTGGCCTAATCAGAAATACACTCTGTAACGAGTATGTCAAAAAACATGTAATTAGTTCATGAATGTACAGCATAATTACTGTTAATTTTCCTGGGACTTAAGTTCTTAGTTTTGCTGTTTTAAGTCATTTAGGTGTCTCCCTCAAATGACATCACACTTTTGTTCATAAATATGCAAATTTGCATTAGTGTAAAATTCAAAAAGGCACCAAAATATTCGTTAAGTGGCAAGTTGTTTGTATGGCGGCTGCAGCAAAAAAATTGTTTTCATTGCATTTAAAGGAACTTCATGGCCCATAAAAATATCTGCTCAGGGTTGGATTTTAATGCATCCAGGAAGTTCCTGAATAAATAGTGAGGTGTTAATGGTCACATCATGTCAGCTTTGTAGAAGTCTGAGAAAGATGATAACTGCGAGTAGGATGTGGGCTGAAACAGGACATTTTAAATGTATGTTTGTGTCTAGAATTACTAATGCATGTTTCCAGCCCTTTGTTACAAAATGCTATTCCAAACAGGGCAATATTATACATTTTTCCTCCTTTGCAGAAAGTCAAGCTAGCTTTTCCCAAAGCAGAGGATACCAAAGCTAAGCTTAAGCAGAAGTATGACAAGGAATACCAAATATGGGAAGAAAAAGAGGTGAGAAATCAAATAAGAGTGGCTAGCAAGTGGTTAGGAATAAAAAATTATCCAGACTTAGCAGAATCTTTCTCAATGGCAAAACAAATTTTTTGGCCTTTGAAAAAGATTCTGCTAGGATTGAAATGCCACGCCCTCCTTGGTTGTGATTTGTATTTTAGGTCACTGTAGCCAGCATGCAGTTTGCTGCGGTTTTGTGTGACATTATTATCCAGACTGGGTTGGTGTAGTTGATCAAAGCAAGAAACAAAGTTGCCAGTACCCGTTGTGAAGATCTGAGGGCCTTACAGGTACATGTAGCTGGCTTGCTTGTTGTTGGATGCTGTTGAATTTCAGCCCATGCAACACTTCTTCTCGGTAGTTTATGTTAAATAAACGTATAGCGGGACACACACATGATTCTGTGGGCTCCAGCAGGCTGGACAGTTTTCTCTCATTCAACTCTGTCGTATTCAGCCGTCTTAACTGCTGGGTAGATTCAGCACGCTTCACATTTTGCTGCTGTAGAATGTTTGATAGAGCAGTGGAATACATTGTGAAAGCTTGGTTGGGTGTAAAAAGTAAACTCTGCTTTTGAATCAATTGATTAACTTTATTGTGAGTATGTTCTCATAAATCTGTGGATTTCTGTCGGCTGTCCAGTGGGCTGCAAGACTTCAAAGGGTTTCAGAAATGAGATTTCTGATATTACAGAAACAAAGACTCGCAGAGGAAGAACGCTTGCGAAAGGAACAAGAGAAATGGAATGCAGAGCAGAGGCGGAGACATGAAGAGGAAGAGGAGGAGAGAAGACAACTCCAGGAGGCTAGAGAACGATCCTTGATAGAGGAACAGCAGCGTCAGATAGAAGAACAAAGACAAGCTATCCTTGAAGAGCAGCGACGAGCAAAGGAGAGAGAGGAAGGTGAGAAGCGAGCATTAGCAGCACAAGCAGCAGCGACGGCAGCAGCAATAGCAGCAGAGGGTGATGCCATGCCCTCAGCTCCATCCCCTGGAATACCTCCTCCATCGTACGAAGCTGTGGAGGCTGGTGGCTACTCCGTCTACAAGCCTGCCGATGATTCCATCAGCCCGAGAGGGCAAGTAAGGTAAGAAAATTACCAAACCTCTTGTCTCATTTTCACTTAACCCTAACCCTCCTCAATCCTTCACCTGTTGGAGGACTGAGGAGTGTTAGGGTTAAGGTAACAACCATGGTCAAGTGAGAACACAGACTAAGGTTGTTTGTCCTAAGTTGATTGATGCAGTTATCAATTTGCTAGGTGCAGCAATGTTTCTCGGTGCTTAGTACATGTACTTGTAGTGAGGAGTTTGCAGTGTCAAACTTGCAGCCGTAATTTTTCGCTAACAAGCATTTTCTTATCCCACATTGTTGATTTCTGTCATCCAGCCCAGCGCCACCGACATTTGATCGTAGCCTCAAGGTCGACCGGTCAACCAAGCCCTCTCACTTGCTGAGTACTGTACCCAGTTCCAAGAATCGCTATGGGCTTAGAGACCTGTTTGTTCCCATGGACACGGTGGAGAGATTCTTAACGTTAGCCAGTCTCAACACAGCCAAGAACCTAGAGACTTGCGGCATCCTAGCTGGTAAATTGGTAAGCAAAAACAACAGATCAGAGGGGTGTAGCTTCCTTTCAAGACAAACTAATTTTGGCGTCTTACATGAACAAGAGAGCAACAATTGCTCTTGCAGTAACACACGGCATGCATGTTCTAGCATGGATGCCATCACATAGCACCATTTGTGTTCAAACTTAGCATGATATTCCAAGGAAAATTGGAAGAACCTGATTGGGATGAAATTTCAATTCACATGACAACCTGGTTGGGATTTGAACCTGGCTCACTGAGTTGACAGCCTTTGCAACTTGAATGAAATTTTTTTTTTTGGCTTACAGTCCCACGATGCATTCACCATCACACACATTGTTGTACCTAAGCAGACATCAACATCAGACTCCTGCACAGCGTTGAATGAAGGCGAAATCTTTGATGTCATGGACATGAAAGACCTCATAACACTAGGATGGATACATGTGAGTTATAAGCTTCAGCATTAGAGTAGATCATTTGTGACCACAGACAAACCAAAAGTGGTGTGTCCTTGCTTTCGTGCAGTTCAGAAATAGGGATATTTGAGTAAAGTTTCTTTCAATGAGGATCTTTCTTGGAGTTTGGAAGTTAAAGGACAGAGTTTCAAGCATGTGATTTTTTCCTCTTAGACGCATCCCACTCAGACAGCGTTCATGTCCAGTATCGATCTCCATACACACTGTCCATACCAAGTCATGATGGCAGAAGCCATCGCTATCGTATGTGCTCCAGCCCACAAGGAGTAAGTACTCAAAGATTTTTAAACCTTGGCCCGATCATCAGTCCATATATTTTAGCATCCAGCCCCAGGATTTGCCCAAAATTTTGAAGTATTCAGGGCCTAGATAACAGGTGTTCTGTATGGGCTTTGGTGTCCTTGTTTGGTTTCGGCCCTGGGTGTTAAAGCCCCCCTTTCTGGAAACAGAGTAGAAACTCGAACACTTAGCCGCATCCAAGTTTTTAGATTTTCAGATGAAAGTATATCATGCATTTTGCATGTCATATAAAGTTAAGCCATGGTAGATTTGAAGTTACGAGTCAGTAGCATCATTTCAGAGTCCTTGGTGGTCTGATTATTGTTGTAGACACTCAAAATACAATTCTGAATGATGTGTCATTGTAATAATCTATTTCTGTTGTTCCACCGTTCTTCACTTCCCCCACCCCCATCAGGACCGGTTATTTCTCCCTTACACCTGACTACGGCGTAGGTTTCATCAGTAATTGCAAAGAGTTGGGGTTCCATCCCCACCCCTCCCAACCACCCATCTATGAAGAAGGCAAGCACGTCAAGATTGCCCGCGACGTGTCCATTCAAGTCATCGATATGCGGTGACGTAAGGCCCCTTGGGTAATCGATACAGTTCTGTGTCCGTTTGACGAGATTTTACGGCCCCCCTCCACCACACCTCAGATGCCCCGCCGTGCACATTAAGCAACAGTTCATATGAAACACTTCAAGCTGATGGCACCTAACTCTCTGTACTCTAATACCCAGAAAAGGAATTATATCTGCCTGGATTTGAATTACATGGCTACGACTAGCAGTCACACAAGTCTATGGACAAAGGCTACAGCCGGTAGCAAGTGGTTCTCATACATGCGTATGTTTATCCTAGCCTTAGCCAGTAATTTCGATGCAACCTCAGTAATCCATTATGGCTAGGATACCTTTGCTAGAGTGTTTTACTAATCACATTTTTAGTATATTTTCACCAAAGCACACTGGTTGATCATGGCTTTTCTTTTTGAATGAAAAGAATTTCATTTTGAACAGTTGTCGAATTGTTTTAATCAACTTTAGTAAATTGCTGACCTTTGACCTTTGATTAAAATATAACCCGATTGGACCATGTAGAAACCTACATTGCATCGGTTCGCAATTTTGCTGCCTGTGCCGTGGAATAATGAAACATAACTTTTTGAAGTCTTATGTAAATGAAACAAACAGTGTGACACACATCTGAACAACTCAACTAAGATACAGAATGAAGGAAAGTTTTCTTGGTGAAAAATTTCCTTCCTTATTGGAATTTTGGTCATGAGATACAAGACATGATCATGTCATTTCTCAATACGTCTGTTCACCCTTTTACACGTGTTACAGTGTAAGATTTTTAATTTACAGTGAAATTCTTCTTAACTCTAGAATGTGAACAGGTTATTCATCCCAAGTTCATAACATCAATGTCATAAATACAGCTTGGTTGAAGTACATCAAATGTTGTAGGTTGCAGAGTGTCAAGTGTTTGATAGCTGGTGCCACAGGTAGGCAAGACTTCTGCATACAGCCTTGTATTAAAGTTGGTGTATTAGAGACACAACCGTCTTTCTTCATAAATCCTTAATCACAAGAGGTCAGAAATGAAAGCTGCTTCTGCCATTCTGTCCAACCCAACATTAACCCAAAAAATCCTCAAATTCTTTCTTTGGATGTGTGATGACATTGTCACACATTTCTGACAAGTTGTATGATTATTATTATTTTTTTTAATGTGTTGTATCAGACAACATTTCTGGGTTATCGTTGGTTGTTTAAGCTTCATCTCCGGGCATTGATCAAACACCATTGTAACCTTTTTGGAGAGGAGAAAGTCCATATTCCAAGTGGTTTATTTGGAAATACATTTCAAGAAGTGGATACATTATACAGAGTTTACAAAGATGCTTAACTTGAGATAAACATTTGACCTCATCAATAACCACATTGTAGTTGAACCGGACTTCATTTGCATGTAATAGCAGTACTGATAAGTAAAGTTTTATGACCTACCTGTAACCACCAAAGAAAAAATCGGGAGGTTTTTGCAATCAGAGAGGTGTTGGGGCCTCAAAGGGGAGGAGTTGGGGCTTTGTTCCTCAGAGTGGGTAACATGTATATTAAACATTTTATTAGGAGAAAAGTCAGCCATTTTAGTTACGGTTGTATCGTGTGTCTGTGCAACGTGTGAAAAAAAGTAAGAGTAATTTCAAAGGTCAAGGGTCAGTACGACTGAGAAATGTGTTCCTCTGAAGTAAAACACGGTGGACTGGTAATGTGTTGCTTTGAAGACAAACAACCATGCAGTAGAATTGGTTTGGATACATTTGGAAATTGTTTTTAAGTTTTTACATTTTGGCTTCAGTTCAGGAATTTGATTTTTTTTAAGGTTTGTGTTAACATGTTTTTGTAATAGAAGTTATTGGCTTTACAGTCGGTGTATAACCAAATTTTGTTCATTCTCAATAACCTCTATTGGAAGTTAAACATTATGGGTTGTGACATTTGCAAAAAGTTCATAAAAGTCAGCCTCAAATGTTTCTTTTTCAGTGCAACCAATTATTGGCCGACATGTCCACATGTGTTAAGTAGAATGTTTTTATTTCATTCAATGACCTGTTCAAAGACACTGTTTATATTTGCAGATTTCTTCTGGCGGTCCGGAGCTTTTATATATATGTACATGTACAGTAGATAGTCCTTGGCTGTTTCCAATCCAGTGGGTGCAACATGTTTTGCTATGTGCCAGATAGAACATTGTAGTTCTTCGGTCTCCCACTGCTGTAGGAAGGACAGCACAGGCAGTTATTGCTGTGGTGGAAATATTGGCAAGGTTTTACAGAAAAAATGAAAGCATCCAGCAAATCATTGCTTTTGTATTGGCCACGGGGAAGAGTCCGTATGAAATAACAAAACTAATCGGTCTACCAGACCAAAAGAACTGATATATGCACTGTTGTGTTATTGTAGGTTACATTATCTTGTGTATAAATGTACAGTGCATATTGTATATATAGTCATAGCAGGCATATCTTTATTGAGCTGAGACAAATTTATCTTAAAATAGTTACAAAGTATGACTTGGTTTCAAAAAATGTGAAATGACTTATAAAACGATGAATCGTATCCACGTGTATTCAAGTTGCAAGCCCTCTTTCCTTGAGGTGTTATATTGAGCAAGACTTCCTGAATAGTAAAGCAAATTTTCTGTCGCGATCTTTGTTTCTTAATTTGCTCGCAAAACTCCTTTTCATTTGTAGACAAAGAAGACACGGATTCACAACTGCAAGTTGATTTTTTTTTGGCACAATATTTAATCAAATAATTATACTAATAACTCGGAAAGAAGTCAAGACTTCTTGAGAGTCTGCAAAGCTTTGCATGTTGTGTCTACACATCCACTCTTCCCGTGTCTGCCCGAATGCACAAAGACAGACCTGTTGAGAGTAACATCAGAGCAAGGCCCTCGCTGAAAGCGTTTAAGACTTGCTCATCATTAGCTGTGTAAAACGTACTCCCTCCAAAAAATCTTCAATTCTTTACCGAGTCATCTCAACAAATTTTTAAAAATGCTTTGCTTTAGTGCCATAATACTTCGTGACAAAATCTTTTGAAATCTTAACAAAATACATGAACTGTTCCCTGTCTATTTGTTCAGAAGTTGAACGATAGTACTCCCTCATCATTTAAATTTTTTTTGGGGGGGGGGAATCGGGAGGGGCCAGTTTCATAGAGATGCCAAGCTGAGAATGGTGCTTTACACAAAATGTATTTGCCTAGAAAACACTTGACTGATTCCCACTGATTTCCACTGAACTGGTACCTTTGGCCATGTCTGAATCACTTGGCTGCAGCTTGAAATTACACAAGTCTATGACAGTAGCTGCAGCCAGTTCCCATAGGGTCATGTGGAATTCCAAGCCGTAGCCAAGTGTTTTGAACGTGGCCTTTTGTTCAGGAATACTTTGTGGTTTTGAACTCAAATAAATTCGTCTCTGAGAAGTGGCTTTTCAAAAGTGGGTGCACAGAATCTGAACTGGGCTTTTGACAACTCTCTGAAAGGGGAAGAAATTTCATGGTAAAACAGTAAAGAAAAAGTCAGGCATCTAGAAATCTGATGCAATGCAAAGAGCTAGAGAATGTCTCTGCTTTTGAAAAAAGTTACGAGGACTTTTTGAGCAACAAGTCAATATCCGTCTTCAGCATGGAGGGGCCCACCAGGGGATCGTAGCGCTTATAAGGGATCCCGTTGGAATCGATGAGGAACTTTTGAAAGTTCCAAGTGATGTCGTTGTTGCTGATGGGAGACCAGTAGAAGTTGGATGGGTCACCAATTTCCTCCTTGACGGCCGGACAGACACTCTTCAGGACGGAAATATAAGAGTGTGGAATTATAATTATAGAGCATAAAAATTCCCAGACAAAAGAAGGAAATTTCAGAAAATGTGTTCAATATTTCACTTGCCAAGTCTCAGCCAATGAAATTTTTAATTAATTTTGTCTTGTCAGCCAAAGACTGAATTAGTAGATCAGTGTTACTGATTTGAGAGTTTGAAAGAACTTGCATTTCAGAGTTTTGTTTCCTTATGATTTGACACAAAATTTGAAGCCAAAAAGTTGAAACATGTACATCATACATGTATTGTATCCATAAATTGGCACATTCAACTTCGAGCCACCCGTACCTTCAGTGCTTTGTAGAGTGGATGAGTGTTTTTCCCATTAACTTCAATCTTCTGGTGCATGGGGAATGTCGGTGCAAACCCTCCACCAGGACGGACGTACTTGATCAAGTTGAGAATCTCGCCGTTGGCTTCTGGCTCCTGAAGCAGGAACTGGTTGCATGGGAAGGCTAGAATCTCGATCTTTCCCTCGTACGCCTTTCGGAGTGCATTCAAGGCGGGGTACTGAGGGGTGGCCAGCCCTCAGAAGCTGGCTACGTTGACGATCACCAACACCTTGCCTTTGTACTGGGACAGCTTGTAGCTTGACCCGTTGAGCGCAGTGACGGAGATGTCGTAAATGGGCTGCGTCGAGTTACACATGGAGTCCAGGAAAGCCTTCGACCCTCCAGGCAGAGCCAGGAGGGTCAAAGCGAGCGCCAGGCCCGCTAAACTCGGCCGGTCCATTCCGCTGAACCCAGCAGAATCCTGAGTTTTAGTAACTTTAATTAGATCTACGGTCTACCTTTTATAACTTGGGCACAGTGGTTGTTCCATTGTTGTACACACCACAGATCAAGGGTCAACCATACACATAAGTGGTTGTATAATAATTTCTTTTTGTTATCGTCTCGCTGGAGCAATCACGTGAAGGATCACGTGCATAGGGATCACGTTGAAATCTGCATATTGTAGCCTCTCTTCGTGCTTGTCTTCTCATGGTTCGCTTTTCACGACACCACTGAAAGTAGCAATAATTTCGTTATTATCAACAGAAGGTGCTATCCAGTGTATCCAAGATGTTTTCCCTCGAGACTAGACGCCAGAGACTCACAACCTTTTACAAAATACTACGGCAGGAGATTGACATTGACACTGTAACTTGTACATCAAACCTACGCTGACCAGGTCAGGAAGTCGCAAAGAAGTCACAACTTGAACATTTAAACAGTTTGAAGTCCATCATCATACATCCAACCCCCACGTTCAGTCTCCCCCCCCCCCCAGAAACCGTCAGACTCTGGAATAACTCTGTTTTCTCTCAAGCATCAGTAGACAAACCAGCCCCACAGGTTTTTTTTAATCTCTCTTCAGCACAAACTCTATTAAGGCCTACACAACGGTACAAGTATTGGCCACTGTATACAACGATCTTAAAAACAACGCTAGGGCGCCATCATCAGCCGCCGTACTCTTTGAACTGCCATAGAAGTTCCAACCTTATTTGGCCGGTGAACGTACATGCATGGTTAAATGATGTATTCAATTTCACTGAGAAATAATTAAACGGCCTCATAGCTACAGTACATAAAGGCCTAGCGGCGAATGACACCTTATAAATATTCAGGACAGAAAATAATGCCTAGGCCGACTCATTTCTTTACAAAACAAAAAATTCAAGTGAGTTCCGTCAAGCCAAGTGGCTACACCGGTCCGGCGTGAAGCAACGTGCTCAATTAAGTTCAGCTCAAGTTTATTAATTTTCCTTGATAAAATTCATTAATTTAATTGTGGGGCCGGGTATTTAATATTCTTAATCGAAATTAAATTCGAAATCAAACTCTCAATCTACATTTTAACTAAACCCACTTGCATCTGTCGATTAGCCCTCGCAACTTCTTGAATAAGTCTAAATCTAAACCGTATATATGAAATGTTTATAATTTCGTGAAACTGCTAAAGCCTACCCTCTTGAAAATCGTGGCTGACCCATTAAATACAATGATACACAAATAAGCAAAATAAAAAATAACTTTCACGAAAGCTACGCATCCAATGACGGTTATTAACAGATCTCCCAGTGACATGCATTGATAGAGACTCATGGACTGGTCTGAAGCTGGCCGAAGGTAGTCGCCGCCGTGTTTGATCACGTGCTCAATCCAAAACACTGCTGTGTCCAACGGTGAGGGCGTCGTCTCCTTGAACACCGAAGATAGGTGGGAAGATGTCTGTTCGTATCTGTCACGTACAGGAGGAAATACAAAGAATATTGTTTGTTTTACCGATGAGGGCGACCACCATGCGCGGCATAATCTAAAGATGGTCCTTTGTACCATATGCATCTTAATACCTCCCACAGAGCGAGTATACGGTCCACCAAGACAATGTATTTATGGGGTATAGACATTCCAGGGCGAGTGGCCCCCACCTTCCATGGTGGACTTGCGCTAGATTTTTCCTCATCCACGGTGGTTACTGCTAGTAGCGGGGGCCTCTGCAAGATTTGCAATGGCCCCCATTAGTGGTGGTAATGACCAGTGATAGTGTGCGTACGTCTCACTGCATTCATCCCTGGGTCTTCGGATTCGATTATTGTTGTTGCGAGAGGATGAACAGCATGTAGTGGATAGCTTATGTACAGTTTTAAAAAAAGATCGGATCATCGAGAGGTGACATATAACCGTGGCACAATCAATCAACCTGCTGTCGGTCAGTTTGCTTGGTAAGCATGCACAAAAGGATAACTCACCTTGGTTCTGAGATAACTTTCTGGATAGCGTCTACTAAGATGCTACCAGTCAGTGTCGGCATGTTAAGCTTGACAGCTACGCCCCGACACACGGCTCGGTCTGTAATGTCGAACATGTCGTTCGCCAGCGGTATGAGAACCATTGGAACACCGTGGTAAATCGACTCTAGAACGGTGCTTGTTCCACCGTGGTTAACAAGAACTTTGGTTTTAGGGTGACCTGGACAGCAAAGACAAAAAAACAAGATGTTTAGCCTTGGCTTGGTATATGTTGCTTTTCGGCAAAGTCTTATCGCGCCATAGCCTTTCCTTGTCCAAGAACTGGGCCATACGCGCGTAATTAACCATCGCTATGGCATACCATCCTCAAACCATGGAGGCAAACCACATGGGCACCGTCGAACCACTGATTAGGTGCGATGCATAGACGTACGCACGTGCGTGTTATGGGTCAGCCATCCACGGTTCGTATATGTGCTTGGACTATAGCCTCTATGCTGTAAGATGATCCATCGTGTGACAAGAGCGTTTTGCATTTAATTTTATAAGTAATGATTACTTCTCTTCCATTCACAATTCGAGTAATTTTTCCCCAAAACTCTTTCAATAGGCAACATGTAATGAAACTTCGGTTATCCCAGGAACAAAAATCAGCAATGCACTTTATTACTTATAAAATAGTTTAATTCGCATGATACCTTTCATTTTTTTGGTCGGAAAAACTGAGCGTTATTTCTACTCGCTTGTCTCCACAACCCTCTCAGGGTGCTTTGATTTTTTGAACAGAAATATTTCAAAAGGCAGTTCATACCCAAGACATCGTTCATGGGTAACCAGGTGGCTAGTCTAGTATTGTTGCCGATGTTGTTGGGTCGTGGTCCTCGGTGATTCCAAACTACTCGCTGCTCCAGGCGTGACAGGGCACCAGCTATATTCTGCACACTGGATTCGTCAAAACTAAGCGATGTTCCCATGGAAATAACGACCACACCATGTGGGCCCGAGCGTTCGAAAAACTCTTCCAATTTCTTGGATAGGGATCGCAAAAAAATTGATAAGAAAATGCTCAGTGATCATCTGGCGGTTAAAACTCTATTCACGAATTAAACTTTAAACTGACATGATCCCGTAAACACGTGAAATAAGTTTAAAGGAGTGTACGCAGAGAGTGATGAGCTATAAATACACAGTACAACCTCCACAGTTCAGTCATCGAATTTAATTTTTTGTGTTATATTAGCAACCGCAAAATTTGGGATGGGGTCCGGCTGTTCGCCCGTCGCCCAGGCGGGGGGGGGGGGCTGATGGCTCTGTACTGTGATTAGTTACCTTGCGCATGACCTGCAACCGTGAGGTTATCACTTTCTGTTAGCGAAGCGGTATTTGAATTTTTTTGTATCACCGATGGCAGTGCTTTAGCACACGCAATTTGTCGGCTGTATGATAACTTGAAACATATGGCCTTGGTACAATCACAGTGTGCGCTGATCACGTATATTTGGGCAATATGTCAAATCATTGGTTATCTTGATCAATTTTGGATGAACGAATATTAAAGCAATGAGGAAGAAAAAGAGAAAATCGAATTGGTAACCGGTTCTTGTGTCAGTGTCGCTTGTGTGTCTTGCGCCTGGCAGAAATTTACCCACAATTAATGCTCTGTACGTCGTTTGCTGTGACCTATGTGACGTATTTCCTTCACTAAAATCTTTGCAAGGCCATCAACCCTTTAATTCCCAGCGCCCTGTCCCTGACATGTTCAGGCGCTGGGCCGCGACTAGAGGGTGATCGAAGTCCGGCTGCGGCGTCGACGTGAGTGCTTCAATAGCGATTTTCATATGAACTCTAGGGGGCGTTTGTTATTTGACCTTTGGGTCAGTCCCTGGCACGCGGCAGCCTCAAGCTGCTTTAATGTAAACCTGTCATTTCTTGCAGTTGCACGATGTATTTCGTTTGGTTTCACTTACAAAGGAGCGCAGCTTTGCCATGGGATATCCGTACATGTGCAGTCATGTTGGAGGATTTTACAACCAAAGAGATAGAACAAATTCGACAGGTTCCTGTGCGCCCTGGAGTTCTCTCAAGTCTAATGTTACATGGAGACTAGCCCCACTAGTATGGCACGGACTCTCACTCCCGATCCATCCCCTTATAGTGGGGCTAATGTAATCTCCAGGCTGTGTGAACTGTGCTATCGGACTAAAGGCACCGTGGGAAAACTTGGGATATACAGTAGCTTTCAACGAAAGACAAGATTTCATGGAGGACAGGTAAGTGGCTTGACCAGACTGTTGATCGTATTGTCTCAGAAGGTGAACTGTATTTTCTCGCAATGCATGTTGAAGGAAAGAATGTAGGCCTATACGGAAGCCAGTTCCGGACACCATACTGCCCTATGTGCCTATTTATACACACAAACACCATTCACACCGTGTGATAGCGACGCTGCGATTAGAGCCGATCATTTGGTTTGAAGTTCAGAAGAAAATTGAGAGAGTTTATTTGCTTTCCCTCCAAAACGTATTGGATGGGCTCAGAGAAAAGTGTCAGTATATCTGAACTACGCACTTGAAATTCACAAAATTTGGGGTTAAAATAATGATCTTGTTTATGATGCGATTTGCTTATTGTCCAATTATGCGTGTAGTATGGTTAGCCAGTCGCTGCCATTTTCGCCTGTTCTTTGAATTCCATCACTGATTGTACCTTCCTGTAATGGCAGCCTGCATAAATGATTCCAAAGTAGGAGAAATTAGAACATGCTGCTTGAAAGTTTTTTTTATAGGCGAGTCATGTTTCCTGTTCTTTTTTTTTCATTTACATCGCCTAACTGTCAGCATTGTTTGGTGTCCTCCACACTCTAGGAACAGAAATTGAGTATTGGTACCCTTGACAAACTGTCACTTACAATTTCTGTGACAGACTCGAAATCAAATGACCTATCCTCATTCTGTCGCGTGGAATGGACTTTTGGGCCGGTACATGTATTATATTGTTCAAAGAAACGTATTGACTTCATCTATTCCATTGAAAAAGTATGGAATTTGGCAGACAAATCTATCAGTCAGTCTGTCTATCAGTCAACAAATCCATCTTTGGTGGTTTGCCTTTGAAAGGGGTGTTTGTGTGAGGCTTTGTTTCTCTGTTTGAATGAATCTTCTTACCTCGTCCAAAGGCTGTGCTGGTTCGGCGGTGATTCCGCCCACAGGTATGATATTCGGTGGCAGAGGGCGCGACAACTCTTGTACACGTATGTCGGAGATGACGAGGTGAAGCTGAGGTCTCGACAGTAAGTTGCTTAGAGACTTTCCTGGCTGAATGGCACGTTTTTCCTTTATTCCTTCAAACGTGCTTAGGACATTTTTTTTCAGAATCAGCTTTGTAACTGTGTAAGACACTACACTCGTAAATCTTTCTAAGAAAGACATGGTGTCACAGAACGACATCAGTGGGGGTGGCATGAAGGAAGGGTAGATGGGTTGACCAAACCAAAGATCATGTTCCGCCGTCCTGAGTCCTTGGGGTGAAAATTGAATGAAAGGGATGACAAGTGTCTCGGCCAACAAGGGCGTACATAGATTGGCCGACGGGTCTCCTATAAGAAGATCATAGCGAGATATTCTCAGCGTGGCCAGCAATGTATGATTACCAAGGACAGAATCGCACTCGGCTGCTGATATCTGCCAAGGATTCGTTGTTGAAGTACTAGAGACAAGAGTCCGTGCCACGAAATTCTTCGCAATACGGTTACCTCTGGCGCTCTTTCGGGTCACTTCTTCTTGGAATATCTTACGGATGTCTTCAAGTTTTGAGGCATCAAAGGGGCTTTTGTAGATCACAAATTCAAACTTTTCATCTAGTTCCGCCTTCTGGTGTGAAAACAAGGTGTTGCTAGCAGCCGCAAGGAGCGATACCTCGTGTCGTCGATCAACAAGCGCACCCATAACTTTACGGAAAAGCATATAGTGACTAAGGGTGGAGGGCAGCGGAATCGATAGCAGTATTTGGGCGGAATCAACCAGCGGGACATGTCCACCGGACAACAATCCCAGAACTCCGAACCAACAAATGAGATTTAACCTACAGAATGAGCTCATGATGGTTGTCATAAACCCTCGGTTACCTGAGCTGAAACTACCACTAAGCCTAGTCTCCAACCCAAACAAGCGCCCGTAAACCAAAACCGGCAAGCTGGAAAACGGTACAGCTGAAACTTACACCACTCTTTTATCAAGTGCCAACGACGTGAATTACATGTATAGTAGAAATAACTCGAATCTTGACTCCGTAGTCAACCACCACTATTACCAGCAGATGTCCAGTCGCAAACCACGTGTTTCCATAATTATAAATGAAAGTTGTGGTCACGTGGCCAAGGCTACTCAATTGTGAAAAACTCTTACCCGCATGAATATATACATGTACCTGATATGATGTTTATCTGGAAGTTATGTGTAATGTTGGAAAAAAATAGGAATGTCCGCTGACTATCAATCAGACGTGATGTCACAGGTACAGACTGCTGCTGTCGCAGACGGATTGTCTTTAGATGCAGCTATTCGCTGTAAGTTGCCGTTTGCAAAAACGAAGCCTCAGCCACAAGCTACTCAATATTTACCAGAGACTGTTTGAGGGTTACTGCAATGCAGGTTGCTGAACACGAAGTCGGAACTGATGGAAGAAAACCAAACTTCATAATATTAAAATGTTTACCCGCTAAATAACCTCAACACGGATGCTGCAGCAATTTCACGGAGAACACATTGGTTAGAGATTTTCCATAATTACATTATTTAACAGAGGCAGTGTCGCAGTGACCACCAAGTTCCATCTTTCTACAGGCAATTTTGTCTGAGTCCTTGGCAGCTCTGGGGTGCACAATTGTAAAATGCGAGACCCTTGGTCATAAAAAGCAAATGCAGGTACCGCTTACACAGTATGAAGATTACACATCTATCACGGATGATTTGGTTCAGTTAGAAATCAACACAATGCACGTACTTCACAAACGAATAACTTCAAAACTTCTCTGAACAACAAACAGCATTGTCTAGCTTTGAGGTTTTTGATGGTTTGTGATTTATTCAGAGGAAAACTGTGTGTAAAAGTCATGTCAAGTATACATGTAAGTGTTTGAGTGTCGGCTGAATATTTTGCACAGATGGCCCACCTTGCAAATGGACTCATTGGCGAAGGAACGGTCAACTCACGGAATAAATCGTGATTCAACTGTGTGAATTTATGAAAAGCGAATACATACCACAAAAATCGTTTGGGCTTTTGTGTAAGACTCACGCATTGGGTTTGCTGTTTCCTCTATCAGTTCACCTTGGTATTCTAAATTTTGACAAAATTCATGCTGTCTTAGCAATTTTCAGCGTAACATGTGACCCCTTGGTTAGGTTAATTACAGTTGTCTACAGCCAAACTGCTGCCAAAACAAGTGCAGCGAAACTTTATTTATCCCGGATCACTTTAGAATAGAGATGAAATAAAAAAAGCTGATGACAGGTCTACATGGACGCCGCCATGTTGCGTGTTGCTTGTCACTAACTACCCGCGATAACCAGTTGTTTGTTCCCGGCGTTCGAGCGGCCGACCCACGAACAACAAATCGAGCTGTTTGTGAACATACGAGAACAAGCCGCCCGAACTCGGCCATAGATGCTCATGGTAAATCTGGGACGTGTTGCATAAATATATTATACTATCAATAAAAGCGTATACAGTACAGGTACATTTATATTCATACCGCCGGGAGCATAGACACCCTGTCAAGTCCATGATTTGACGGATGTTCAGATATGCAGGTACATGTAGATCAGCATGCCCCCGCAAGCATCTGTAACCGGCGCAGACCAAGAATCAAAACTAGACACAAGATTTAGACCTTCCGCCATGCACCTAATCATGGAAAGATGATTGATTTCCTGATCAGGAAGTCGCTTGAAACTTTGACAAGAGTGATGAAAACCCTGTAATGTATCTGGGGTGGCTATGTCGTAATCCATACTGGATGATTGTACAGTTAGTTTGTGCCACAATGTCATATGTTACGTTGTATTGGTTAATTTTTGTGTGAGCAACAAGATAAAACCGTAATGAACTGTCGGCGACCAGACCCCAACCGACTAAGAATGTTGCAGCTCCACGTAGTTAATCGAAATCATTCCAATCAAATTGTATTTCTTCACCACTTTTTTAGTAACACTGCTGCAGGTTTTAGGATGGCTTGCAAAAAAATATGATGGGGCATCCATCCCGAAGGGCCAACCAATGAGAAGACTTTGATGGATGAATAGAACAAGAAACAAACAACTGTTTCAAATCTGTTAGTCTGCACAAAGCCGCAAGTCTTCAGACAAAGAAACGCGAGGATTTCCGTACGTATCATACGATTTTATTAGTATCTTTTTGCTTTAAATAGAATAAGTTTCGCATTGCATGATCGATAAACACGTTTTCCTTAGTAAAAATTTCCTTAGTTCCAAACACAACAGTCCTGTTTGACCACAGTTGCCCCGACTGCGTATGCCCGAATGCACAAGAGCATGCGCCTTGAGGCGAACGTCAGAACCGATCACTCGCCATTTTTGGCATTTATAAACGGTTCTTCATCGGCTGTGGCACAGAAATGAAGTGGAAGTAACGAAATCCTTAGTACTGAAAAGAACATGTTCATCAGACTATGTTCCAATGTGACACCGAGTGGAATGAAAAACATACACTCACGACATGGCAAAATATCTTCTCATCGAGTCAATCATAATGGCGAAAAGTAAGGATATTATTTCGCCTGTGATTCAGTAGCATCATGGTCAATTACTTCTGGGTATTTTTTAATAATATTTGTGAATAAATTCTAAAAACTAACAATAAAAAAAATCCAGGAAAGGAGTGGTGGGTGTGCAACGTTAGCCCACTCCTGTAAATACCAATTTCTTCTCTCAAAGATGTGATGTTCTTATGTTGGGTATCCTTTTTCCTCTTCAATAAATTGATTAAAGTTTCTTTGTCTACCAAAATTTGGAGGAGGGTGCCCCGTTGCTACTGTCCGTGGCCTTATCGTCTGGTTGAGGGGACGAGGTTGCCATGTCCCTCATCTTGATTAGCAACTCGATATCGTCTTTCAGCTGGGCAGGAAGCACGGCGGGGTCGTAGCGTTTGTACGACACGCCCTCGGCGTCGATCAGAAACTTCTGGAAGTTCCAGGTAATATCGCCCACGCGGATTGGCGACCAGATCATACTCGCAGGGTCGCCAATGGTTGTCTTCACTGGAGGACAGACACTCTGAGGAGCCAGAAACAAACAAACAGGAAATAGTCTCCATGCACTTCATATTCAAGGAAAAGACGCCCTTTCAAAGCAGTGACAAGATCTTTATGAAAGGATACACCGAGGATATTCTTCTGAAGTGACTATAACAAGAACGTTTTCCTCTTTTTGCTCTTACGAAAAAAACCCAGCAAGGCTAGCTATTATTCGTATAACAAGTGCTTTTCTTTCACAAAATCTGATCAACGTAAATTGGATACTCCACAGACCAAATAATCTCGAAAATCAAGCAAAGGTTCCCCAGGTAGAAAAGAACTCGTTATACAGCCATGAACACAATGATCCAGTCTCGTCAGGCTGTTCTCACCTTGAGCCGAGTATACAGCGCGTGCTCCGATGCTCCGTTCACCTCCAACTTCTCAAACAGAGGAAAATTGGGTACGTAGCCCCCGCCAGGCCGGACATGCTCCAACAGGGGTGGAATCTCACTGTTGGAGGCCGGCTCCTGGAACTTGAACTGGTTGCAAGGGAACGCCAATATCTCCAGGTCATCCGGGTACTCCTCGCGCAGTGCATTCAGCAAGGGGTACTGGAAAACCAACCCTCAGAAGCTGGCCACATTGATGACAATCAGGATCTTCCCCTTGTACTGGGACAGGGTGACCTGCTTGGAGCCATCGATAGTCGTCAGGGTGAAGTCGTGGATGGAGTCAGTGGCATTGGCTGTACAGCGCGATTCCTGCCCTAGAGCGCTTGGCAGCGCGAGGAGGGCGAACGCCAAGCCCGTCAAAATGATCATATTGACGGTCGCGATGCCTGATTGGCAAGGGTCTATTATATACGGTTTTTTGAAGCACTGATCACTTTTATCTACAAGTCTGTATAGTCAACGGCAAGTTATTATGGACCTTGCCCACCACTAAGCGGATTCTGTCGTCCAAACAATCAACTGCACTGCCAAATCTTGATTAATCACCATGGGCAATCGAGCCGGGGGAGGTTATTTAGCGAACTGGTACTTCTTTGAAAAGGCGTGTACTGTCACAATGTTCAGGTTCCCGTCGACCCCTATACCTACACCCCTCGTGAAGCTGATGTCTTCTCCAATAATCCCTTGTGCGATCATTATCTGTTGTATAACATATTCCGGTGATAACAATTTTGATAAGCCGATAGGGGTTATGACATTGTGTATGTGACAAACAAAACTGTCGCCAGTCCAAATATTCTGCAACTTTGATTATTGCACAGAAGAAGGCCTTCTCCATGCTTAGTTAAGGCGACCGGTTCTTTCATGAAACCCCAATCCTAGGGTTCCATGCGCCAGGTTATGTCACATTGCCGTACACTGTAGCTTGGAATCGTAAGGGTCAACGGCAGGGGAATATTAAAGACAAGGGAAAACATCAAAACCCCAGAAAATTTGTAGGCTACATTCGTTTCGAACAATAGTGGGCTGCTGTAAACTGCTTCCCAACTTGACAGACCCTCCCCCCAAAAAGTGACGAGTTTATTCACAGAGTAATCTTTTATTTGGTAATTTCTATGGTGGAATGAACCAAAAGCTCTGAAAGAAATCACAGCTGGTGATGAATACCATTACTCTCCTCAAACCACTCCATAAAGGGTGGTAAACCAAATGCATCATTTTTGAGGGATGAAATCTCCGCTACCCGCCTTTTGAACGAAAACATACAATGGAAGGTGGCATCACAATAAACGCAACACAAAATTTAATACATGTATGTGACAGGGTATTTTTATCCTTGAGGAACGGTTATTACCGAGGATTGCCTGGTTCTCCCTTGTCATTGTGCCATAAAGAAACAGGTGATGACTGGGGTGACATGCATTTCATATGCTCTGATTACCAGCACATGATCGAAGCGCATTTCAACCTATTTTATGAGCCATTTTAGTGTAATAGTGCGGGTGGTACAGTTATAATTATGAATAATTATCTTCAATTCGACGTCAGCAGAATCTTAAAGCCAATGGGCGTCGAGATAGATCCGCCAGATTTCTTAGAAACGGAGGCTCCTTCTGTCGGAACTATACTCTGCTGATTCACGAACGACTAGACAGTAGTAGGAAATTCACGCGTCGCGGTCATATCGCTACCAACAGATTGAGCACTCCTGACCAACGCGGCTCTTTAAGCCGATGGGGGTGATTCTGCTCGAGGTTGACAGTACTTGTAGAGTTCATGTCAAAGTAAAGATGTCACTTTCTCACGGCCACCTGACAGGGTACAACTTGGCCAAAAAAGAAACGATTATAAGCAAGCGTTAACTGTTTAGTTTGGGCAGCACTATGTCTTGTTCAGGTGACTATTTGAAAGAAATTGTTATAAGAGGAATTCGAGCTCAAATTGCTCAAAATGAAACTCCCTGTTCATATGGACATGTTTTGTGAGTTGCCAGACCTGCGTGCTATACAGCAGCTGTCATGTTCATTCCGAGGAGTCAGGTTGGTGTAGTGGCCTTTTCCTCGCCTTCCACCTCTGTGACCCGGGTTCGAATCCCACTTAGGTTAGCATGTGGATTGGGTTTTCAGTCCCTGTCTGACTCTGTGGGTTTTCCCAGGAATATCCATTCTTGGTTTTCATCCTGTAATTTGCGCCAAGTGGGCTGTTGGATGATCAGATATATATAAAAAACTATTTAAAAAAAGAAGTGACAACACCTACTCCTCGAAAACGACAGTCTTTATTACTTAGAAGAACTAACGAGCCGAAAACAAAAGAATATCGAAGTTCATGTCAACTTTAACTATATAAGGACAATTAGACTACCACCGACTTTTAGTTTTTTTTAACGAGTTCTTAAAATCTTATACAACTATAAACACGAAGGAGACCACCAAAACAAGCAAAAAGCAGAAGAAATCTCCCAGTTTATATACTTGAATACTTCGTCTTGGTTATCGGTTGAATTTTGCCCATCGTGTCATTATGTGCCCAGTCTCTCTCCTTGTTTGCCTGAAAGTGACTATTACCGTCAGGTTCACTATTTAGTCGGATATTTCTATAAGGACTATTTGTCATATTTTCTAATCAAAGTACTTGATGTCCTTTGTTTACTAAATGTTGCACATGCATAACTTACTACTTTCCCTTTGCCAAGCTTGCGTGAATATGGAGATGTGAAAAGTGCAAATTTAAAACGGGTCAACTTTTGAATTTCATGGCTTAATAACAGTTTTTCAACAAAGCGTTTCATCGAAACAATTAGTGATTTATAAGATAGGCATCACTGATTCCGTTGTATGGTCATAGAGCCGTGTCAATCAGGAATAAACTAGCAATCTGGGCTTGACAGCACTTCCACTGACACCTCACAGAGTTGCAGTGTAGCGGTCCCCGGGATGTCGACGCTCACGTAGCGCGCCCTCAACGGTCGGTCACATTTAATCTCAATGGTCCCACCCAATGGCTCGGCTTGTGTGGCAGTGATTGGTGCCCCGCATGCCTGGTTCGCGGTGACAGTCTCGGATGTCCCAGCACGAACCATGGCATTTTGCAGACGTTCACCTGCGCACAAAAAAAGAATGTAGTGCTATGGTAAGAAAAGCTTGAGTGATCAAATTTTAGAGCGCATTGAGCTTCACATTTGATAGTTTTACTGGCTAGTTTTCATTTCTCTGAACATATTCCATTCGTAAATACTTTGTGAAATTGTTTCAGTATCACTATTTGTCGAAAAAGGTCATTTTACATGGCAAAAACAAAACAGGTTGGTACAGTTGAAGTTTTGGGCTGTTCTGGAGAAGAATTTGTCTCCGTCAATTAACGAGATTCTTAGAGCATTTTCCCAGTCTTTAATGGAAGGGTGGTAGTTTAGTATAAAAAAAAAGAAACAAGTAGCACAACAACTTTGGGTCTTTATTCTAGTGCATGAAAATAAATAAATTAAGTATCCCCTCTAAATTCAAAGTATTTTGACATACTTACTGCAACAGTCACCTCGGTTCAAGATGGTTACCTTGGTAACGCACTGCTCCCCACCAAGATCGACTTTCCACCAAGGGTGGTTCGAGTCAGTAGCTGATGAAGAAAAATGCAGTAGAATGTGTCACTTAATTTTCCCGAGAAATAATTCTGTTGATAGATTGCTATTGCCGTTGTACTTGGACGTACTCTAAAGTTGGAATGTGTTGTTATCAGACTTCATTGCCTTACGGTTAGTATTTGTCCAGCTTTAAATAAGACATCTCCAATTCTTCTTCCATGAATGCGACTTTGATTCATTTTTGGGAAGACACTTGACACTTTTCTTTCTTATGTATTTTGGCTCACATCCGTTTTAGCTCCATTGCCCTATAAAGATGGTTTTGATGGGACTTGTATTTCTTCGCGACATAGAACTGGATATAGGCCTAGACATTTACCGAGCTATTACTAAAAAGTTAAAGGAGAGTCTACGGGCTGCTTGAACCCAGGATTTAACAATATCACCGATGGTTCCCGTATAATGCAAGTGTAATTTCCATTATAAACAGTCTTCCACACCTAGAGGAGATATCATCTTACCAGTGTGCGAGCAGTGCCTGGCGGGGTACAAGATTGCAGATGAACTCCCGTCCACTGCCAAGTCTGCTGTATAACGCGCACTGTGCGTTGTGCTCTGCTCTGCTGGTTTGCCAACGATGCTGAACGGCTGGGGATCTGTCAACAAATTCAATGATAACACGACTGTCACTGCCTAATATTTGGACGATTTGGATCAACGTTGGAGCGTTTTTAATCATAACTTACCAGGACATTGTTCTAGAGGAATCTCCTCCAGTGTAACCTCGCAAAGTGCTAGGGTGGCTGACCCAGGGATATCAACGCTGACGTAGCGCCCTTTCAGTGCGGGCTGGCAAGTGAACTCGATGGTACCACCCAGTGGTGCTGCTTGCGCAGCGGTTACAAATGAGCCACAGGCCCAGTTCTCTGTGGCAGTGACGCTGGGACCAACACGGACAACAGCACCCTCTAAACGCTTGCCTGCCAATGGAAATTCGGACAGTTTTGTTGAAATTATCGTTGTGTTTGTAGTTATTTTTGTAGTTTAGTTTGCTGGCGTTTTTCTCTGGTTACGGTGGATGACATGGTGATATTGAAATAGTTGTATTTGGGATGGTTGTGGAGTTACTACTCCAGTTTTTCTACATATGCTACATAACTGTTCTTTCTGGAATGTTTCTCTTTTGTATAACCCAAGTTTGAGAAGTTTTCTGGAATTCCAAAACTTCTGTTTACTCAAAAAAGATCATTTGGCGATGTTGGTACCCTTTGCTACGACGGAAAACACCCCCTTGACTCTCCTTTCCCCAACCCATTGGCTGCAGGTTACACTTGGCTAGCATTTCGGTTTAATGTACATAATATGTTACTATATATCTAGTAGGCCTCACCATACATGTACTAGGAATCATCTAGGTTTCTGACTTACTGCAGCAGTCACCACGGTTCAGAATGTGGACTTTGCTGATACAGTGCTCGCCCCCAAGGTCCACCATCCACCACGGATCCCTGGCACAAGCAACTAAGTGGACAAACAAACAGAACAGACGGGTGCTCAAGAAGTTAAAAGTGTCTCACTAAATATTTCAGCTGGGAGCTGCTCGTGCCAAGGCCTTTTCCTGATCAAAATGGAACATTGTAGAGATGGAAATGGTGTTTAAACGGGAAACCCTGACACACAGAAGTGTTACCTACTGGTATGCGAGCAGTGCTCCGAGGGGTACAAATCGGAGGACGAGCTGCCATCAACTGCCTTATCTGACGAGTAGGCGCCATAAGTTGAACTCTGCCAGGTGATCTTGTCCACAATTGGGAGGTTTGTGGAGCCTTAACGAAGCAAAACAGACAAAATTAAAATTGGTAATGGCTAGGTAAAAGCAAACGAAGCAAAAGGGTAGCGAGATCAACAAAAACAGCAGGACTACCGGTACCTCTATTTTGATAAATGCTTTAAACCTCTAACGCCCCTTTCAGATCTTGGCCGCACAAAATAATGAATCTAATATGAGCGTAAGCACTTTTATGCTTTGTCCACCCACAAGGTTTCAGTCTAGCCAGATAAACTATTGTTCAAATTTACCATTTTAAGCTTGTCAGTAAGATTGCATACATTAGTAACCCTTTTCAATCAAATGTAAACGCACGCATGTGCACCCTATTGCATAGTTGGATATGAAAAGCGAAGCTGAAAACTGCTTATCAGTAGACACCATTTTATAGGTTCTTTTGTAATTTCCTTGTTTACCTGCTCGAGTGATCATGGCTCATTGCAAATATGTTGATCGACATACCTCCTGACTTCTTGGATTCTTCAACCTCGTCCTTTAGAACACGCTCCAACAGGTCCAATTCATCCTGAAAATTCGTTCAAAGAGAAGACATGCCTTATAGAGCTCATCATGCGCTTAATTTACAAGTACACTGTGGTCTCTGACTAGCTAGTGTGGCACATGCGCATCGTCATGATTTTTCCGGGGGGAGGGGGGCGGAACCAAGCTCATGAGCAGCAAACTGGCCCAATCATTTGGCATGGAAGGGGGTCAATTCCGACGTTTTCTATCAATGTTGTGATTGTTAACCCCTTTCCTCTTGTTTATTTTTCCGACTTCCCAATAACCGATATGTATCATAAGCACTGAAAGGGGAGATATTTAAGAAAACAAACGGAAGCTACAATGACGCTGTTTTGATGTAAGGTTGAGGGAGGTAAGTATGCGTAAAAGATGTACATATGTATCATGATCAGTGGCCTTAGTGTCATACCGGTACGGAATACGGACGCTACAAATGTCAATGACGGGGCAAGTTTTTTTTTTATTAACGTAATCCCCCATTCCCCATCCCGCTGTTGTCCCTGGCACAAGATTACGCCACTGAAAAGCTCCTAATGCAGATCACCGCTAAATACTGAAAGAAGAACACTTTCAGTATTAGTTCTTTGAGGAAGCTCTTAGGTGGATGAAGGTAAGGTCATGTCGCCCGGAAAGCCTGTCAGCCAGTTTGCTGTACTACAGTACACCTGGGATAAGTTGGATCAAACAGAATCGATCGATTTTATCCGATTTTAGCTAAGCTCTGACATACGCAGAGACGATTTGCCTGCATCACACACCGGTCAACAATTCTCAGTATGAAAAAAGTAACACCGCTACGGTTCTAGTAACATTAAAACATCTTGTTTTCTATCAATACTACATGCATTAGCAGAAAAGTGAAGCATGTTTCATCGATTATGCCACACGTGTTTGAGCCACGAACGTCCCCATTCTTCAAAAAAGTCATAGTACACTTCTGTACTTAGCTCACCCACTACCTTATCCACAAACATGCACCAAAATGATTGACTTGAACAGCAAGATTCCTGCAAATCTCCGTACGGACTGGAAGGACTGTACGAAAACATCATTTTTCGTCCATAGGGCAGAAACGAGGAAAGACATACGGGACTTGAGCTGTGTTGATTGATTTGTCAGATAAGCGACAATCCAACCTTAGGCGATCCGACCAAGGGAAACATTTTTATCAGGAACAAGTGATGCACAAAACATGGTAGAGCGATTTTCTCTGAGGTTCTGAGTGACAATCCAATTTAAACGAATCCCACACCCGAGGTTTACAGGCCATTGAACTTCCTGACCGTAAAAGTAGTGTATTAATCCTTGCGATTCCCACGAAAGCAAGGCTAAGCTTTTTTCATTTGGTTCTTTTAAAAATTTACCATCAGTTTACTATTGGAGCGTCATGCTTTACAAGGATAATTTTTGTCGCATCTGATTGAGAATGCGTTTTGGAAGTTGAATAGTGACCTTCCTAGTCTGTAGTATTTCCAATTAGTTACATAATACCACCTTGAAATCGAATTTTTCCTTTTCAAGTTGGAAAGATTTATTTTCTTGATCTTTCTCTGGTTAGCAAGTGGCGGACAACCTTTTCAGAAAATTTATCCTTGGTTGGTAAGGGAGCCAAAGGTTTTATTACCTTCTCGTCAATTGTAAAATAGGAATAGATTTTGTGCCTATGAGAACTTAACTGCGAAAGACGGATTTCACTTTTACATCCTGGTTTTGAATATCCCTACAATTTATTCCAATCAACGGGTTCTTTTTTGAAATTCTACTTTGTGCTCCAATATACATGTATGCTTTTGAATGAACTTACCACTTACTTGCTCTACCGGTAAAACTGAAGTTTTTGGTTTGAAACTTTTAATTTGGTACGTAACTGTATGAGACTGTAGCTAATTTCTATCAAATAAACGTTCGTACACTAGATATGGGATCTTCAAAGTATAATGAAGTGTAATATCCCGCTCAGGCATTGTGTGGTTAGCAAGACAGTAAAACTGGATTTTAAAAATGGGACAATAAAAGTCGCTTTTTTTCCTGAGGTAGATAATAGAGTTTTACAACCTTTCCACTTTCTGGAATATGGGCGATTTATAACAGTGCGCCTCCAAGAGTTTGAAACGCGTTGACCAATCACAGTGCGCGAAATCTGTCGACCCAGTGCGCGTTTGGAAAGGGTGGACAGATTTCACGCATTGTGATTGGTCAACGCGTTGCAAACTCTTGGAGACGCACTCTTGTGAAATGAGCGAAGAAACACAGGCGGCATCCTGGTCTAGAGCTACGTTTAGGTCTTCGCTCCAGTAGAAATGCATGGAGACGCGCAAACAATAGACCTAGCCGTAGCTCTGGAAGCCCGTTTTGGACACGGCCACAATTTGAACTCACCTCATTCCAGGCGGTGGTCATCTGGAAGCCCACGAGTCCCAACACCAAGACAACAGCAGCTAGCGATCTCAACATTCTTCTTTCGACTTTGGAAACTTGTCAGAGAGAGTCAATAGGCCTGACCTGAGCAAACACCCTCAACTTTTGCGAACACGAGCGAAGCAAGCCACTAGACCGGGTGAGTAGCCTGATGCAAGACCTTTATAAGCAAAACGTTTGCATCCCATAATATCTTGCATAAAGCTGCCGATTAAATTACACGTCATTTTGGTCCGGTAAGCTAATCCCTTTCACCTGATTGTATGAAGACAGAAACCGTTCGGTTCCACTGAAGCGTGACTCCCTGATCGGTTCGAACCGGTGACTCGGTGTTTAAATAATTACGCAACACACAGTATGCCCTAAAACGTGTCATTCTAACTTAAAAGTTCAACGGCTTTCCACAGTGAAAACAAAGTCCCAGTCATAAGTTACCCGAGAATTGGAGGCTGCTAGAAGGTTGCTGCAACAGGAAATTGGAACTGTTTGAAGAGAATACAACGTCTTATCCAGTTGCCTGTCGTACTAGTCAGAGATTCGTCCATAGTAAGTGTCTGTCAGCACACAGGTCCATACGGCGACACTTATGGTCGAGCTGCTAAATACCATCGTGGACACAATCAACGAGCACTTAAAACATCACTGTTCCCTTTGTCATTTTCAGTTTAATAGTACGGCTTACACAGGTGTAAATAATCATTCAATTCGATGTCAGCAGAACCATGAAGCCTATAGTACCGGTAAACTTCATGTCGAAGTAAAGAAGTCGCTTTGTACGGCGACCTGAAAGGGTGCGACTTGGCCAAAAAGAAACGATTTTAAGCAATTGTTAACTGTTTGGTTCGAACTAATAAGTCTTGTTTAATTTAACAGTTTCAATAAAGTATGAAAAGCTGAATTCAAGCGTAAGCTTCCCCCAATTAAACTCACTGTTAATTTTGACATGTCGGTGAGTTGCCTGTTGCTTCAAACTTAATTGGCCTGTTTCATGAAGCACGCGGCCGCTCTTCTCACGTTCATGCGTATTTAGAAAAGGAAAATGACTACAAAAATGATATCACATGTAAACCGAAGCCTTTATTACTTATGAAAAAAAGAACTAAAAGCCAAACTTAAAAGAATATTGGAGTACTTATACCAACCGTTCACTGTTAGAAAATTGGACTCCCACCTATTTATTTCTTTCAACAGCCTTAAACTGTAAACTATGTGAAAAAGAAAAAAGAAAGAAATAAACAGCCCAACTCATACACCCCAACAAACCAAACCAAACAAACACAGCAGATATCTCCCTCGTAACTTCTTGACGGTTATTGGGAATTATCAACGATTGTACTCCTCCTCAAAAATGCTTGCCTTAAGTTGACTGTGCTTGTGGTCAAATATTTCCTACTATTCAGTTCTTTTCAGATCGACCATTCACATTTGTTGTCCTCTTTGTTGACGTCCTTCGCTTACTAAAATTTCACTATGAGGATTTTTTTCAACAAAGCGGTTTTAATCTGAATAAATTCTATCTAGCCCCAAAAAGAAAAACAGAAATTTGGAAATCAAAAAGACTTGAACGTTATTTGAAGATTCCTCATATAGTCCATTATTGTCATATAGGACCGTGTCAATCAGGAATAAACTAGCAATCTGGACTTGACAGCACTTCCACTGACACCTCACAGAGTTGCAGTGTAGCGGTTCCTGGGATGTCGACACTCACGTAGCGCGCCCTCAACGGTCGGTCACATTTAATATTGATGGTCCCGCCCAATGGCTGGGCTTGGTTGGCAGTGATTGGTGCCCCGCATGCCTGGTTCGCGGTGGCAGTCTCGGATGTCCCAGCACGAACAATGGCATTTTGCAGACGTTCACCTGCGCACAAGAGAAGAATATAGTACTATGGCAAGATAAGCTTATGTGGTCAAATTTTAAAGCTCATTCATCTTCATATTTCTGAACTTTTTCTCTAATTTGCCTGAATACGTTACCTTGAAAATTCACTGTTTGAGTTCTTTACTAAAAAGGGTAATCTTAAAGAGACCAAACAGTTTGGCATGAAGTTTTTTGTTAATACAAGAAATAATTTAGTTTCATTAACAGGGCTATTTGGATAACTTTCGGAACAGCCTTCAATGGAACTTTTGTAGTCTCGTAGAAAAAGGCAAACTAGCAGGTCGTTTGTTAAGAAGCACAGAAGCCATGATTCATGGCATGAAAAGAAACTATTCTGTGAAAAGAAGGTATTATTGGGTACCTTCTTAAATTCAAAGTATAATTTGAAAAACTTACTGCAACAATCACCACGGTTCAGGATGGTTACTTTGGTAATGCAGTGCTCTCCACCAAGATCGACTTTCCACCAAGGGTGCTCCGATTTGAAAGCTAATGAAAGAAGTGCAGTTGATACGTTAATCCTCCTGGGAAGAAAACTTTCATTGATTATGAAATTGGAGAAATATCTTTTGGGGTGTGTGTTATCGGGAAAAATGTTACCTAACTCTTGCATGATATCACATTCTGTTCTTCAAATGGTCATAATTAGCAATACATGCAACTTGAACTGTAATTTTAGGAAGACATGTTGGTTTTTCTTTCTTTTGTATTTTGGTTTGTAAACTCTTCCCGTGTGCCTTACCGGTGTGCGAGCAGTGGCTGATGATTGAAGATGAACTCCCGTCCACTGCCTTGTTGGCAGTAAATCGCTTATCGTACGTTGTGCTCTGCTCTGCTGGTTTGCCAACGATATCGAACGGTTGGGAATCTGCCAAGAAGTTAAGTAAGAAATTGACGACAGGGTTCTCCTTCATGATTTTTTGACAATTTGGATCAAAGTTACAGTTCTGGATACGGAACCCAAAGTGGAGCCTTTTAAAACATAACTTACCAGGACATTGGCCCTGCGGAATCTCTTCCAATGTAACCTCACAAAGTTGCAGGGTGGCTGACCCAGGGATATCAACGCTGACGTAGCGCCCTTTCAGTGCGGGCTGGCAAGTGAACTCGATGGTACCACCCAGTGGTGCAGCTTGCGCAGCGGTTACTGGTGAGCCACATGCCCAGTTCTCTGTGGCGGTGACGCTGGGCCCAATGCGGACAACAGCGCCCTCTAAACGCTTGCCTGCCAATGGAAATTCAACCTGCAATATTATAATTGCCCTTTGGTTGTTCAAGTTGTGCGTCTTGTTTAGTTTGCTGTCGTTGCTTTTTTCTGATTGCAGTTGATGACGTGGTAATATTGATGTAGCCTACTGGTATTGTTAAATATATAGCAAAGATTAAGATATATTTTGTTCGTGACATTTTGTACATGTACATCTGTTATTACAAGTGGTCCAAAGAATCCCCAAAGCCTAGAGGTTTCCTGTAATTCCAAAACTCCTATATACTGAAACAAAGATTTTTCGGCGATATTGGCACCAAATTTTACAATGGTTGACGACGCCAAGCATTCAATTTCCCAACCCTTCGGCAGGGTATTTACTGTGCCACTTTGGTAGAATCTCGGTGTCATGTCATTATGGTAATCATACTTAGTAATCAGACTGTCTAGGTTCCTGACTTACTGCAGCAGTCACCACGGTTCAAAATGCGGACTTGTGTGATGCAGTGGTTGCTCCCGAGATCCACCATCCACCACGGGTTCTTAGCATTAGTAACTAAGCGGGCAAACAAGCAAAACAGACTGGCGCTTAAGAAATAAGAAACTCTCATCGTAAACTTTTCAGACGACAGCAGTTGATACTTAATTTTTCCTGTTCAAAATGGACTACGACCTAAGAAATGGCAAGAGAAAGCGAACAGGAGATATACTTTTTTACTTCCAGTTGTGTAGGCTACACTTTCTGCAGTGCATGTTTGTTTGGGATATCACATATAGCAAATTCTTGGGTTGACTGGCCCTACAATGGCATCTTGAGAGGATTATTTCAAACTGCAGACGCCCAGCACATACACGCCACTGAGGTCCATGCGGTTTCTGTGCATGATGACGTTGGGGAGAAGGTGTTTATTTCGAAGGGCCCACCAGACAAAGTGTGACCTACTGGTATGCGAGCAGTGCTGTGATGGGTACAGATTGGAGGACGAGCTGCCATCAACTGCCTTATTTGATGAGTATGCACCCAATGTTGAGCTCTGCCAAGTGATCTTGCCCACAATTGGGAGGTTTGTGGAGCCTAAAGAAAACAAATCAAAATCTTAAACCATAAAACAAAGATGAACGACGAATGTGTTTGGAAACTGACGGCTAACCAGCCTTGTTGCAGTTTTAATCTTTGAATAAAGCAAAAGGCCTGCGAGGCAGGCATTGCTGCTTTTTTCTGTTGTGTTTGATAATTCACTCATGCCTTTTAACCTCTCAAAGCCCTTTTAGAAAGACACTTTCATCCTACATGTCCTATCTTTGTCCATAAGGCTTTACACTAACCAAAGAAACCATCAGTAAAAGTTTCCATTATCACTGGTCTTGCAAGTAAGATTGTGTTCTTCATCAGATTACCCCTTTATGAACTCAAGAGCACTTTTCCACATAGGATATGAAAAACAATCGCCAAAAATCTCATCAGAAAGAGGACTTGCGTTTCATATGTTCATTTATAGTTTTCTTGTTTACCTGCTCAAGTGATCAAAAACTTGAAATCAAGTCGGTGATTGGCTGGGTGTGGTCCACCTTCCTCGGGATACAGACGCGGTGCGGTTCGGCGAGCAGTTTAATAACACGCGGGAACGGTCAGTGCAATCTCGATCCCCAATATGCATGTCCGACAGCGCCCACTTACCGACCTGAACAATATGCAAGCCCTTTTGTGCACAACGTATGGGGCTTAATTGCTACCAAAATTGGAAGGAGCACTCTTATTGGCTAAGAATCCCGCAATATAAATATTTATTTAAGGAGCAGTTTGATTGGTCAGTTAAACGCTTATTAACAACTGCAGTCTCGTTCATTAAAGAGGGTGTTTACATTATCGTAAAAAGATGATTCGCCATAAAGCGTTGATTCTCTTACCAGAAAAAGATAGTTGATAAATTTATTCTTGAATAGTTATGTATGCTTTGTCTCTAAGCGTCGTATTAAAAGGGATATTAATGCAAGATATGACAGAAACTAGTAGTAATCTATTGTAGACATCCCTATAAATAAATGGATGAGTCTGATCTGTAGCGTGAGCTACTATTGGCGTTCTACATGGAAATATATGAATCATGCAATTCAGTTGTTGCAACATGAATATATCCAGAATCAGGTTGATTTGGTGTACGATTTACGACACACATTTCTCTCTCTCTCTAGCCTCCGTCCACGCGACACAACTACACGACGCGACAGCACAACGACTCCCTTGCGGAGCAGAAAAAGCTAAAGCACCGTTGTGGCTGACATTGTGGCTGATGTTATTTATTTCCTGGAGACAATGCTGAAAGTTGGTCGGGACGCTCTTTCTAATTACATATGATTACAAAAACAAATAAAAAAAATTTTCTTCAACAATTCACTGTTAGTGAAAACAGAAAGTTAGAAAGAATGCATGGAAAAGAACAACAACAGAAACAAGGCTTTCTACCTATTCGCTCTTTGTACGCTGCCGCCATAGGCATGCAGAGCCTCCATCTGACAGCTTTACGTAATGATTCCCGTGTATGTTGTTTAGTAATTTGGGGCATGCTGCGTTAGTTCCTCTACCATTTAACCATACGATTGGACAATATTTCAAAAGCTACGTTGACGCGTTTCTGACACGATTGTAAAAGCTGCCAGTTCGAGACGCTGCATGCCCATGGCGGAGCAAACAGCATGCACTTTGCAAGCACGGAGGACGAAAAAAAGGTATAAAGGCGCCCTATATAAAACACCTTGAAGCAAAGGGCGACGGAACACAACTCGTCGCGTCGTACGTCGTGTCGTGCTTCAGGCGATGTAATACACGACACGACGCACGACTAGATATACGACGCGATGGGCGACGGCACGACGCGACGTTTGTGTACAAACGTAATGGCAAGAAGGCGACAACGCGACCTGATGGCACGACGCAAGGGAGCCGTTGTGCCGTCGCGTCGTGTAGTTCGTCGCCTTGGAAGAGGCTAGAGAGAGGCAGAACTGTGTGTCGTAAAAAGTACACTATACTGAATAGCCCACGAGCAAGAGCAGAATCGGTGTGGCATGCTGGGTGACGTGAATCGCCGGCAAGAGTGAACGGGCTCTGCACTAATTGTAAAATGACGCAGCGTGTGGACCACAAACAAGACCGACTAACGACTTGATTTCAAGTCTAGAGTGATCATGGCTCATTGCAAATACGTTGATACACATACATGCTGACTTCTTTGTCTCTGCAACCTCTTCCTTCAGAAAACGTTCGAGAAAGTCCAATCCATCCTGAAAAATTCGTTTAAAGAAAAAACTACATTGACCGCAGCGAGTAAAGAGCTCTTCTAACCAGTGTAAATTTTTGGGCTCTGTTGGCAATCCAAAATGAAGGACATTGTAGGTCACTCGAGAACAGCATGCAATGCGTGGGCGACGTTGACCCCATCGCGGTGTCCGCATGCCAACTAACACGTGTTGAGCAAGTTCAACCCTCAAGCTAAAAATCTGTATTAGGACATTTCTTTTATCGGCTTCCTTTTCATGGGTGGCTACGGTAACGTTTGCAGAAACATTACCCTCAGTCGGCTTGAGGTGTCAATAAAACCAGGCAAGGGGCATGGTGTAAATTTTTTACCGTTCCCAAATATTACTTATTCGTTCCCACAAATTACCCATTCGTTTGCATTGAATTACTTAGCTATGTGCGATTTGTTGAAACGTTGTGGATTTCTTTTACTTTTTGCCGATCGTCAATAAGTTTGCCAACCACTCGTAAAGGTACAAGAATGTGACACGAAAGATCAACTGAAAGACTCAATGATCTGATTGTCCAAGAATCAACTAGCGGCTGATAGCGGAGGAAGTCTCGCCGATCCAGAACTGTTGATTCGGACTTCATTTAGCATTGTGAGAAATTCTCCCGAGAATGCACCATGTGTCGAATACAGAATAGCTGAGATTGATATTTACACTTCTATATTCCACGTGACCTCGTTAATTTCAGGTGTTTCTTATACGGAAAACCCTTAACCCGGAAAATAGTCTTAAAAACAAAACAACAAAACAAAACACACTCACCAAAAACAAAAACAAAACAAAAAATTAAACACAAAAAGTTGATAAATTCAAGGCAGAGTGCAGACAAATGCTTCTCTGGTTGGTAATACCTTTTGGTTACCAATCACGTTGTTTTCCTCCTTTGCCGCATTTTTTAACCTCGTTATGGAAATTGGGCCTGAATGGGCCGGTTTTAAACCTTTTTGTCGGAAAGGGGTGACATCTGTCCCTACACAAAATCTTGACCGTGAACATAGGGATTGCGCTGAAACATCTGCGCTTTGCATATTTGTGCAAACTTGTGTCTGTAGATGGAAATCTTTTGAAAATGTAGATACAACTTTTTACTACCACTTTTTTGAAAATTAGTCGAGAATTATGCAAAGACAATTTTGGGGTGAAAAGTATTTATCTAGCTAATTTTATATACAATATAATTAATGTTTCTGTAAAAATCATCTTTTTCACTCATCACGTATGAACTTTTTGAATTCCTGCATAATTGTAAAATTATTTATTTAAATTCACACACATCGAGTGCATTATCCCACACTGGCAATGTCAGTGGACGGTAAGGGAGAGCGATCATAAACTGGTTTTGATGTAGGCTCATTTTCATCAGCCTCTTTCTGTGATCGGAAATAATGTTTACCAACCGTTCTTCCCTTTTGAAATCGAGCAGAGAAACATAGCCTGAACTTACCTCATTCCAGGCGTTGGTCATCTGGAAGCCCACGAGTCCCAACACCAAGACAGCAGCCACTAGCGCTCGCATTATTGTTCAGTCGGCTTCAGAAACTTGCCTTAGACTTTAATGGCCGCGACGCAACAAATATACCTTTAATTTTATTGAACACGAGCGAAGCAAGCCAGCAGAATGCGGGAGTGGCCCAATGCAGTGCATTAAAAAAAGAGTTTACATCCCATAATATTTTGCGTGAAGGAAATAGCACCGCTATCCAATGGCGCTGCATATAACATAACTGAACCAAGTACTATTATTGGCTTTTCCACAAATTTCGGAAAATGCATCAGTTTCATTTTATTGTGAAGGACTTTAATGACCGCGACCGAGTCTTTTATTAATGAGGCTATGCATATTGGCGCATGACATGTTTAATATTTTGAGAAATCAAAAGCAAACGTGCTGAATATTATTGTCAATGTTTTTACCTGTATTTGTCGCTTAATGGAAACCTAAATTGGAACTCTTAAGGAATCCTTGCGAAGTTGCAGGCGCGTTCTGAAATATTCTGGAACAGGAATAAAGACTGACACAAATGCAGGATCCTGGTAAACCTCTTTACATGTGAACGTTTATTGTTTATTAATTAAAATTTTGGGCCCTCATGTTATTGCAATTCTGTTATTGCAATTAAAATTAATGAAAACTTATAAAAACGAAATTTTTGCGGGCAGTTTTGGCTATGTGGGCAACATGGCTAATTCGTTCACACGAATGACCTATTCGTTTGCAACGAATTATACAGCTATAATTTATGCAATTCATTAAAATGTTTGGGATGCAAGTGAAAGGTCGACTGAAGGACTCGATCTGATTGTCCAAGAATCATCTAGAAGTCTCGCCGATCCAGGACTGTTGATTCGAACTTTATTTAGCATTGTGTGTTAGAAAATCTTTCGAGAATGCACCACGTGTCGCCACTACAGAATAGCTGAGATTGATATTTACATGTTTGTGTATTCTATATTCCATGTAACCACCTTATTTTCAGGTGTTTTTTTGTGTTTTTTAATACCAGAAACCCTTTGGACAAACGTTGGATATAATAATCGTAAATTCAAGGCTCGGTGGAAATAAATACTTTTCTAATTATTAACATTTTATTTGTTTCCAATTACGTGGTTTTTCTCCTTTGCAATGCTTGAACTGCGATCTTTTTTTAACCTAGTCATGGAAATTATGCCTGAATGGACCGGCTTTACTAGGTCGAAAAGGGGCGACATCTGTCCCTATATAAAATCTTCATTATGAACAATGGAATTGCGCTGAATTTTTTTGTTGGGATATCCGTTACAAATTTATTCCTTTAAAAGGAATCCTTTTGAAATCGTAGCTAAATTCTTTTTACCGGTGTGTTCCTGCAATGTTTGAGCACCCTGCGTGTAAAATTGAAGAATAGTCGAGATTGTTACATCCGGAAGATTGGTGTTAAAAGTATTTATTAGGCACCCAACTTACAAAATTAACATGGTTGTTCCTGATCTCGATGAAATCCTCGTTTCATACTCATCAGATATGAACTTATTAAATTCATGCATAATTATACAGTGTATTATATTTAAATTCCTGCATACCAAGTGTATTTTCCTACACGGGCATTGTCAGTGATCGGTAAGGCAATGCGATCATAAACTGATTTCACAATTTAGGCTCATTTGGATCTGATTTTTGTCCTGTGGTCGGCGCAAATAACCTTTTCCAACTGCACTTCCCTTATGAAATTGAGCAGAGGAACAGAGCCTGAACTCATCTCGTTCCAGGCGGTGATCATCTGGAAGGCCACGAAGCCCCAACACCAAAATTACAGCTATACCGATCGTAATATTCTTCTCTCGGCTTCAACAACTTGTCTTAGACTTTAATGACCGCGACCGAGTCTTTTATTAATGAGGCTATGCATATTGGCGCATGACATGTTTAATATTTTGAGAAATCAAAAGCAAACGTGCTGAATATTATTGTCAATGTTTTTACCTGTATTTGTCGCTTAATGGAAACCTAAATTGGAACTCTTAAGGAATCCTTGCGAAGTTGAAGGCGTGTTCTGAAATATTCTGGAACAGGAATAAAGACTGACACAAATGCAGGATCCTGGTAAACCTCTTTACATGTGAACGTTTATTGTTTATTAATCAAAATTTTGGGCCCTCATGTTATTGCAGTTCTGAAAATAGAAGCGAAATAAAATTAATGAAAACTTATAAAAACGAAATTTTTGCGGGCAGTTTTGGCTATGTGGGCAACATGACTAATTGGTTCACACGAATGACCTATTCGTTTGCAACGAATTATACAGCTATAATTTATGTGATTCATTAAAATGTTTGGGATGCAAGTGAAAGGTCGACTGAAGGACTCGATCTGGTTGAGAATCAATTAGCGACTGATGGCGGAGGACGTCTCGCCGATCCAGAACTGTTGATTCGAACTTCAATTTTAAGCATATTGTGAGAAATTCTCTCGAGAATGCACCATGTGTGAGATTAATATTTACACGTTTGTGTATTCTATATTCCATGTAACCACATTATTTCCTGAAAATCAAAGGGGATTATCCCGCACGGGCAATGTCAGTGATCGGTAAGGCAGTGCGATTATAAACTAGTTTCATAATTCACAATGTAGATCCATTTTGATCCGACTTTGCCCTTGGTCGGAAGTTACCTTTTCACAACCGTCCTTCCTTTTGAAGTTGATCTGAGGACACGTACGTTCATTCCCTATAGAGAAAACGTTCCTTACAAGCGCGCATGCGCACTTTGTTTCCAAGCAGACAACAACGGGTTTCCGTGCGAGCAGACGACGTTATATCGCGGAATTTTTCAACGACTGACCTCGTAAAATACCAAAGTGCAGCAGCAAAATAAATTTCGGGAGGATCTCAACAAGACATCATGAACAACGCACAATCCTCCATAAGTAAGATTTTTAAATAACGGTAAATCTCAGAACAGTATAAAAAAGTGGATTTTACGGACCCTTTCTAACAACAACGAGAAAAACGAAACTGCTGCTTCCAATTAAACTCACTGTTGATATGGACATGTCGGTGAGTTGCCTGTTACTTCAAACTTAATTGGCCTATTTAATGAAGCAGGCGGCCGCTCTTCTCACGTTCATGCGTATTTAGAAAAGGAAAATGACAACACAAGATAATGCATGCAAACCGAAGCCTTTATTATTTAAAAAAAAAACTTGAAAGAATATTGAAGTAATTATATACCAACTGTTCACTGTTGGAAAATTGGACTACCACCTATTTTAATTTCTTTCAACAGCCTTAAACTCAAAATTAAGGCAAAAAAAATAGTCGGTCTCTGGTCAGCACGCGCGTCGATTCTGAACACGCGCGTCATTTTTCCCCATTTTTTCCCAAAATTTTCAAACAGCGCCCTCTATTTCCGCACCGCCTGAATGTTCGCGAGTAGACTGATTCTCGGCCACAAGTCCATAAGTCGTTCGTTCAAGGAACCAGACTAATTCGTGGACAGCTCGTACCCAGTGATTGATTTGTTACGACTGCGTAATGTTGATGTCGAACACAAACAGTAGACCATGGGTACAAAGTTGCAGCCAACTGGTCAACAACAATGGCGGCATGACATGCGACGTGCTACTACTGGCCTTTGCTCTTTGATTAAATATGTCACTCATTTCCGTGTCAATTGCCAGTCTTTAAAACCCAACACTACCCTCCCCCCAAAAAACTAAAAAAACAAACAAACCTGCATCGCCGCATCAATTCTGGAACTTTGGTCCGACCAGAGACCAAATTTTTTTTGGGGGGGGGGAGGCCTAAGCAAAAAAATAAATGAAAATAAAAAGGAAGGAAAAGAACAAAAAGAAATAAACATCCCAACTCATACACCTCAACAAACTAAAAAAATAACAAATATATCTCTATCGTAACTTCTTGACTGTAGTTGGAAATACATTAACGATTGTACTCCGAGTCGCCAAAAATGCTTGCCTTAAATTGACTGTGTCTGTGGTCAAATATTTCCTACAATTCAGTTCTTTTCAGATCCACCATTCACATTTTCTTGTCCCATTTGTCGACGTAATTCGCTTACAAAAATTTCAGTATGGTGCCTGCGCGGTTGATTGTCCCCACTTGGGTGAGCACGCATAAAATAATATCATTGCAAAAGAGAGTTTTTTCGACAAAGTGATTCATCATTTACTTTAATTCAAATGAACTCTATATAGCTAGCTCAGCAAAGGGAAGCAGAAATTGAGAAATCAAAAAGATTTGAATGTTGAAATTGAAGATTCGTCATCTAGTCCATTATTGTCATATGGGACCGTGTCAATCAGGAATAAATTAGCAATCTGGGCTTGACAGCACTTCCACTGACACCTCACAGAGTTGCAGTGTAGCGGTTCCTGGAATGTCGACGCTCACGTAGCGTGCCCTCAATGGTCGGTCACATTTAATCTCGATGGTCCCGCCCAACGGCTGGGCTTGACTAGCAGTGATTGGTGCCCCGCATGCCTGGTTCGCGGTGGCAGTCTCGGATGTCCCAGCGCGAACAATGGCATTTTGCAGACGGTCACCTGCGCACAAAAAAACACTAATCACGTTTAGCAATAGAGTAGGCCTAATCCATTTTTAAAACGAATTGAGCGCCAACAATTTGCCTGAAAACATTTCATTACATATCCTTTTTGGTATCGAGTTGTTTGCTAAATAGATGAAATAAACAGTTGGTATAATGGTCGTTCCAGGACGTGGTTCTTAAATTCAAAGTATTTTGACATACTTACTGCAACAGTCACCACGGTTCAGGATGGTTACCTTGGTAACGCACTGCTCTCCACCAAGATCGACTTTTCACCAAGGGTGGTTCGAGTTGGTAACTAATGAAAAGAAAATAGAGTTACAAAAATATGTCATTCCTCCCGAGGGAAAATTTCCTTATTAACTTGAATAGAGTCATGCATATAGTTGTGATTGGAATGTCTGCAGGCGGTACGCGTGTTACCAGAAGGCCCTCAGTACCTTATGGGGTTTTTTGTGTGTCAAGCTTTAAAGAAGTCACGTCCAATTCTTCTTAGATACAAGATACTTGAATGTAATATTGGGAAGACATTTTAAGTTTCCTTTCTTTTGTATTTCCAGCTCCACTGGCTTATAGGGGCGATTTTGATGGGACCTGTATTTCTTCGCAACATAAAACTGAATACAGCCATTCACCGAGCTCTCACTACATAGTTTAAGGGGAGTCTACGGGCTGCTAGCTTGAACCAAGCATTTAACAATCTTGCCAGTGGTGATCTATTGTAGGTTCCCATTACAAGTGTCTTACACATCCAGAGGAGATATCATCTTACCAGTGTGCGAGCAGTGCCTGGCGGGGTACAAGATTGCAGATGAACTCCCGTCCACTGCCAAGTCTGCTGTATAACCCGCACCGTGCGTTGTGCTCTGCTCCGCTGTTTTGCCAACGACGTTGAACGGCTGCGGAACTGTCAACAAATTCAATGATAAGAAATTGACTATTGTGTTGTGCTTGACAGATTTCACTGTCTAATATTTTTACGCTTTAGATCAAAATTAATGGATACGGAACCCGAAAAAAGCCTTTTTCAACCATAACTTACCGGGGCATTGGCTCAGGGGAATCTCCTCTAATGTAACCTCACAAAGTTGCAGGGTGGCTGACCCAGGGATATCAACACTGACGTAGCGACCTTTCAGTGCGGGATAGCAGGTGAACTCGATGGTACCGCCCGATGGTGCAGCTTGAGCAGCAGTTACCGGTGAGCCACAGGCCCAGTTCTCTGTGCCGGTGACGCTGGGACCAACGCGGACAACAGCGCCCTCTAAGCGCTCGCCTGTCAATGGAAATACGGACAGCTATGAGCCCCGAGCTGGACCGAGAGAGGACGCCATGTACCTTGCAACTGAGGCTTCTTCGGTCGGAACTGTACTTCGCTGGTTCACGAATGACTTATACACGCGTTGGAGTCAAATCGCTCCCAGCAAAATGAACACCCCTGAACAAGGTGGCTCTTTTCAACCGATGAGGGGGTGCTTCTGCTCAAATCGGATATTGCAATTGCTCCTTGGTTGTTTAAATTGTACCTTCAGTTTAATTTGCTGTCATTTTGTTTTTTCTGGTTGCAGTAGATGATATGGTGATACTGATGTAGCCTACTGGTCATTGTTACATGTATTGCAAAGATTGATATAAATTGTGTTTGGGGCATTTTTGGGGGGCATTTCTTTTAGTACAACAGGTATAGTGCTTGTTGTTGATGTTGTTGTTGTTTTGTTGTTACTCTATTTTGTGTCTTCCATCTCCAAAGCCTAGAAGTTTCCTGTAATTCCGAAGCTCCCATATACCGAAACAAAGATTTTTCGGTGATACTGGCACCCTTTTTTACAATGGTAAACTTCACCAAATATTTATTTTCCTGACGCATTGACAGTGTAAACTGTAACTGTAGTAATTATACACGTACTTAGTTATCAGTCTATTTAGGTTTCTGACTTACTGCAGCAGTCACCACGGTTCAGAATGCGGACTTTGCTGATGCAGTGGTTGCTCCCAAGATCGACCATCCACCACGGATCCCTGGCGGCAGTAACTAACCGGTCAAACAAGCAAAACAGATAATTATAGGCGCTCAAGGAATAAGAAACCCCATCGTATTTACAGATACCAGCTGCTCAGGTGAAGGGTTTGCCCAGTTCCAAATGGACACTGACCTGAGATATCGCAAGATAACTGAGGGCGCCAGAGCCCAATTGTACTCCACATGGTCAACAACAGCAGCAGAAATGCGCACAACAGTCGTCAGGAGTCGTGTTTCAGTGATCAACTACAATAACCCTCGTGTGTTGTACAAAAATATAACATTTACTTCCAGACACGTAGGCTGTGCACGTAACAGTGAACTTGTGTTTTGGATATCGTATGAAAACCGCACAGTAAAAGCTGGGGTTAACTGGACCTAAAATGGCACCTCGAGAGGATTATTCAAAATTGCAGTCTCAGGATTCTGTGTTTGAAACGGAGAGAGATTGGATTTAATGCGGAAGCTAAACCCCGAAAGACAGTAGTGTTTCCTACTGGTATGCGAGCAGTGCTGTGATGGGTACAGATTGGAGGACGAGCTGCCATCAACTGCCTTGTCTGATGAGTATGCACCCAATGTTGAGCTCTGCCAGGTGATCTTGCCAACAATTGGGAGGTTTGTGGAGTCTGAAGAAAAACAAAACAAAACTTCAAACCGTGAGGCAAACTAAAAACGAATAAACATGTGTGGTGACTGACAACCTACCAGCTTTAAGGTGCAGTCGTGGCCTGTGAATACACCAAACGTTGTGCAAGAACAACAAAAGCTTCAGGAGTGGTTCTTTTTTCCTTTGTTTGTGATACTTTGAGCAACTAACATCCCTTTTCAGATCTTGACAATATAAATAAAGAGTGAAATTAAAACTTGGCGAAGCCTAGACACCATCCTTTCTATGTCCTCAAGGTTTCATTCTAATCACATAAACCATTTTTGTAACTTACAAATCTTAGATTTGTCAGATGTGCGTCTATAGAAAGCTCCTTTTTAAATTAACGCATAAGCACCTTTCCATTGTGGGATATGAAAACCAATAGCGAGAAAAAGCTCATCAGAAAGAGGACACCGTTTCATGTGATTTCCCTCTTTATCCACCGGAATGATCATGCTTCACTGGAAGTACGTTGATCGACATACCTCCTGACTTCTTGCTTTCTTCAACCTCCTCTTTTAGAACACGCTCCAGCAGGTCCAATTTATCCTGAAAATTTGTTTAAAAGAGTACACAAAATGCTGCGTGTAAAGATCCCTTCGTACGCTTTTAAATTGTGTACTCTGACAAGTGTGGCACATGGGTGTCGGCAGGATTACACAACCATACAGGTTCAATTCTGAGATATTTTCAAGAAGATTGTTTTTTTATCTCCTGCCTTCTTTCCCTTTTGCCCCCTCTATTCTTTGAGGAGAGGGGATGAAGCCTCCACTGATTTCTTAATACTTGACTGCGTAGGCGCCATCTTTGGACACGTAAAACATGACACATCCGTTTGTTGGATCCTGGCTGTGAGGATTGAAACTTTGTTGGGCTGTCAACTCATGGTTGAAGGCCAATTCATAGAGCCAAATTAACACCCAGGTTTTCTTTAAATAAAGTGTCCCATATCTTTATTCCACTAATTACATGTAATTGATGCTCACTAAAACAACTCGAAAAGCTGGAAAATGACAAACGTAGCGTGCTAGAGGCTGAACCGAACAGGTGGCACCCATCTGTCCACCAAACAAAGTCAAGTCACGGATGGATTTCTTGGTACCCGGCCGCTGGCACGAGAGCGATCGAGGTCATGTACATGTACATGTATACGTATTATCTGTGCAGCGCCCCCTCCCCTCGGGCCCTCACAATGTGGCATTTGCCTGTGAGATCCCTTATCCGGGTGCCTTGGAAAAAAGCGTCGCGCCACCTATTGTGCTGTTCCAATCACGGCTTTACAAGGGCATACCTCCCTGCAATGCCAACAGGTACACGTTCTTTTCACCCTTCCAAATGGATGGTTTTCCACACCACCATGTTCGCCAGACAAGGACGAAATCCATTCATCATGAAAAAATGAAATCAATATAATGCCAACAAAATTCAAAACTGATTCTGCCCGAACCCAGCTTTTCAATGTTTTCAATTATAGTTCTTTGTCGAAGCTCTCAGGAGGCCTAAGATATGTTCAATCGCGTGCAAAGTTCTCCGGACACTCAGACAGGCGATTTTCACGAACCCTGCAGGCAATTCTACCTTCTGACAAAGGGTAGAGTAAGCCTATTCATTATTGCAAATCTCCAGAGAAAGCAAGGCCACGATTCCTTCAAGTCTTCGTATATCGGTAAAAGAATCTAGTCTATAGAATATAGTCTATTCGCTATTGAAGGGTCACTTTTTGGATATACC